ATGCTGCTGACTACCTTCCACCGTGGCACGGCGCACATAATTGCCCGATGCCCCCGAATCGATCAAAATGATCCATGGCTTATCATAGCCCTTATGCGTCCCTTCGACGACTAGCAAGCTTAACTTGCATTTTTTCGTTCCGTTTTTAAGATTTGAATCTCTTTGGAGCTGAGCCCTGTTTACTTCTACCTCCTAGAGGCTCAACAGAACTCAGTTCTTTCCAGTAGGATGCCCCGCGCCTACTGAGCTCCGCCGTTTCCCCGCGGCAAACCAGAAGGTTTACTCATGGAAAAGGGCTGCCTAACGCACCTGCAACGTTCAATCGTCTTGTGACGCAGTTGTTTCGGCCCCATAGGGCGTATGCACAGACATACTTTGACGATATATTCGCCCATAGTCGAGCCGAAAATGGCAGGACTGATGTGGAGAATCACATCGAGCACCTGCGAGCTGTGCTCAGTTGCATGAGGATGCATAAGTTATATGACAATATTGACAAATGCATCTTCTGAGCGGAAGAGATTCCCTTTTTTAGATGCTTCATTGGGAAGCGAGGAATCTGGTCAGGCCAGCTAAAAGCTGCAGAGAAGAGCTATCCAGTTCATGACAATGAGCTACTTGCGATGAAGTAGCCCTTGTTAAGTTCAGGGTACACCTGTTGGGCTCAAAGCCATTTATGATCTATACCGATCATGCGTCGTTACGCACAGCGACACAGTCGCTTCATCTCTCGCATAGAATGGCTCGTTGTCTCTCCTTTTTTGCGGTGTATAACTTTGAGGCAAAGTATAAGCCAGGAAAACAGAATATTTTGGCTGACGAGTTATCGCGTAGACCTGACTATGAGCTTGCTCATCTCACTGTTGTGAGTTTGTCAGTAACTGATCGTATCCGTGTGGCGTATTCACGCGATGAGGCATGTGTTGCCATTGCGCAGGCGCTGGGTAGCGCAGATTTTGAAAACTCTACGGTGAAGTTGTCACCACGTAATCGTGCGAGATTACATCGTTATGCACTGACTGATGGTCTGTTGTACTATAGTACAGGGTCGGATGACCAGCCTTGTGTCATGGTCCATCATGATGAGGTATTCCAGTATCAGATACTTTATGAGGCTCATGATACACCAATTGGTGGGCATTTAGGTCGCTAAAAGACCTACACTCATTTTTGATGTCCCAAGCTGTATAAATGGGTTGGTACATATGTAAGCACGTGTGGAACATTTCAGCAAGTGAAACCCTCGCCTGGTATGGCTGCGCCTTTGGCGAGTTTGCCTGTACCCTCGGGGTTATGTCAGTCCATTAGTATGGACTTTGTGTTTGGTTTACCGCGCTATGCGGTCTTTATTGACCGACAGAGCAAGATGGCTCACTTAGCATCAGTGCCGGACTCTATTGATGGAGAAGGAACAGCTACTCTGTTCATGGATCATGTGTTTCGACAACACGGATTGCCTGTGGCAATCGTCTTGGATAGAGACCCCCGTTTTACGGGAAAGTTTTGGACGTCAGTCTATAAAGTGCCAGGCACTCGACTGGACATGTCCACGACGGATCATCCGCAGACCGATGGTCAGACAGAACGCGTCAGCCGAGTTATTGGTGATATGCTTCGCAGTGTTTGTGCTGAAACACCCAAGCAATGGAGCACGATGCTTTCTCTCATAGAGTTTGCGTTGAACAACGCGGTGCATGCCTCGACTGGCTTCACGCCATTCTATGTGAATGGTTTAATTAAACCTCGCGTTCCGTTAACGCTACCTCCTGACACATCAGAGCTTAGTGGGGGAGAGATATCCAAAGGCTTGGCTGATATCAGCCCTGTTGCTATGCGCAAGAATGTGGAAGCGTTTCTTTTCACGCGTTTTGACGTAGTACGTCGCGTCAAAGACGCTATGGCTGAAATCCAGGATGTTCAGAAGAAACAAAGCAGATGCCAAAGGCAGAAAGAACGAACACGAGTTCAAAGTGGGAGATTTAGCTTTATTAAACGCTAGGAATTTACCTACTCGTGCCGTTTCGGCAGTATACAAAACCTAATCACGTCCACGCTTTATTGGACCTTTCAAGGTCATAGGCAAGAAAAACTTAGCCTATACGCTGAACCTTCCGAAGAAGATGAGAACACATCCTGTGTTCTACGTAGGCTTACTTAAGCCATATCTCAACTCTTCCTCGGTGGACTTCGAGGGGTTGTCCCCACATCCCCAGCCGAAGGAGGCGGGAAGTACTGCACCGGAGGTGCATATGGACGCTAGAGGCGTACCAAGAGGTCAATCTGACATCGAAGTTCGGCTTGAGAACACTCAATTGCCGTTAAGCAATCCAAGGTCTCAGAGTGATAACGCTCAAAAGACCGACGGTGTCGATCGACACGGTCATCGAACGGTGACAGGTAAGACCTCACCGATCCAAGAGCATCACGCTCCAGGAGCGTCAGGCGACGCTCAATCTCAGAGAGATGAGAGGTCAATGGGTTATCCACCTCCTCCGATGCTGATTCATGACCGGGATCATCAACAGCTCCACGTGGAACGTCTATTGGCTCGGCGTCGTCACCAGGGTCATATCCAACACTTGGTTAAGTGGAGGGGGAACCCCCAGTCGTACGACTCGTGGGAGTATGAGGTCCCTCTCCTGCAGGATCGCCCTGACGCCGTTGACGCGTTTAACCAGGACGGCCAGAAGCAATGACAGCTGTCGTCGGACGCATCCTATCACTTGGTGCTGTGGAAGTAGGGTCAGTAGACTGGCTTCGCCTCTGACCTTCAGAAGAAGCCAATGTCGGTACATCACTCGAGTGAGAGGTACGGGCAGCAGCTTCAGAAGCTTGCTCCCCACAAGTCGTTGACTTGTATGTAAAGGGTAATTGACGTTTCGCTTTGAGCTTAGCGAAGTTAAAACGTAGACGACGTTCTAATCAAACGTCTTGCGCTTTAGCGCTTAAACGCTAGTTTGCCAAACTTAAGAGCGTACATGCTCGTTCTACCCAACGGTGAACTGGTGATCATCTTGTTCAGAGTTTCACCTGGTGCAAGCACCATTGGTATGCCGTTTAGTGGGTACACGGGCACTCCACGTTATTGTCGTGAAAGTCGCTCCTGATACGTTTCATCATAAACTCCTGGAGAGTAAGAATCTGCTCACGAAAAGCAACACTATCTGCATTCTCGCAGGCCGTACGGGCATGGGACCCAATGACATAGGTTCGCAAAGATTGCGATGCAGCACGTCAAGCTTCCTCATTAGGGTCCCGGGGCACGAACCCATAATCACGTCGTGAAAGGTTTGTTTGGGCCGTGCCAAAGCGGCCTCTCGGGCCTCGTCATCAAGTTTACGATGCTGTGCAGCGTCAAAAGGGTTGGTTACCTCTTCGTCAGTACCCTCTCGCGAGGGAAGTGGTGGCGCTTGGCGCAATGGGTTGTCTCCTTTGGGGGAGAAGACACAGAATGGGATCTGCGTCCCTCGCTCGGTGAGCGTGATGATCTTGGGGTACTACGACCTGAAGGAGACTCGGCTCCGCTACCTCTAGAGGCAATGTCACTGCCATCGTCCCCAAAGATGTCGCGGCGCATTGCATCATCCATGATAAGGCAAGCGCTATAAGGACAAGCGCTTAATAAAGTAAGTGTTGTGAACACTGTAATGCTTAAAAGCAAGTGCTAGGCACCTAGTGCTGTGATAGCAAAAGTTCGTAAACACACAAAGGGTATTATTACCAAGTGCTTGGCACGTAACGCTTATAAGCAAGTGTCGTAACGCTTAGTGCTTTAGCGTGAGTGCGATGCACTGTATTCTCAAAGAGCGAGTGTCGTAACACAAGGATGCTTAGAAAGCGTGTGTGCCAAATCACAGGTGCTCAAGGAGCAAGTGTTACAAACACAGAAGCTTTAGACGCAAGTGCAAGCACTTATTGCGAGGCAAGCAAAATGAGAAGAAAATGAAATTGATGCCTCACATTAAGCTCGAAAAATCGTGGGTACGTTGGGTCCCACGGATTGATGGGGGGTAACGGGGTTACACGAAGGTGTGTATTTTACATACACACCAGCCACACCAATGTACCTTGGGTACAAGAGTAGGCTTGATGTGACCGTACCTGAGGGTCGCATCGTGGCCTAGAGCCACGTGGTCACTATACTTGTTTAAAGTATAGTGGTTATGCATGTTTGCATAATAATAATAGATTAAAGAGCCAGTAAATAGTGACTAGCACTAAGTATAGAGTAGGTGCTTCTATATTTAGTTTGAAGAGAAACATAAATATAAATCAGTTTCAAACTTGCTTTAAGCGTCACAGCTTGAGCATTCACTTTCTTAAAAGACAGGAAGTTGTATCGTTGATTATAAGTCTCTTGGAGACACGGTTGTTCACAACCTATAGGCACAAGCTTACGAGCTAGCCTTGGAAGGGTTAAGCACCCTAAGACGTAGAGGCTCTCTAAGCTTGTCTTCCTCTGCACATAGTGCATAAGTAGTGTGGCTACAGTAGCCCGGCTACAGCGCAACTTTTACTGATTAGTTCGTGTGGGTGACAGCTTGACTGATAGGATGAGGAGAGACGGACGTGACGTAGGACAAGCACATGATGACGAGCAGATTCGACACGCGCCATGTGTCACTTGATTGATTGGTCTTGCAGTGCAAGCGAATGTATGTTGCAGTGTTCACAGATAAAGCTAACATTGAATAAATTTTAGTTTCGAATTCACCTCTTTTTCTCAAGTGCATACTTCGACAATTCTACAAACCAACCATCTTGGAATAGGTGGAGCAAAGGACGGTAGGAGAAGGGTGCCTAGAATCTAAGAAAAGCAAATTCAAAATTACATTGTCTTCCCAACGGTTAATTGACGACAACATATCCGACTTTATACCCATTGCAAGTGTTGAGGAAAGTAGTTTCGGGCGAGGCCCGCGGGTTGTCAGTAGTGTGGTGAGGATTTTTTAGAACAATTCTGGTGCTATCTTTATAACAATTCTGGTGCTCTCATCCCCTTAGTCGACATCAGTCATGTCAATCTGCTTGGCGTGCTTCGCATTGACTTTTGAGTGACCGCGCATACGGGCACCGTTGTGCTTGGCCTGGGTCACCTTGTACATATTAGCAATGAAGGCAACACAAGCCACGACAGCGACTGAAGAAGCTACTAGCACCGAGGGGCCAAACAGGCTGTCACTGTCCTCATTGCTAGCAGTCTCCGTGCAGCGAGGTCCAGTCCATGAATCAGAACACTCACAGCGACTATTGGAGTTGCACCTACCCGTAGTCACATCAGTCAAGTCACTGCTCGAGATGGTACAGTCGTCATCGGACTCGCAGAACGCCATGCCCGAAACGTATACCACCAAGTTGTCATCGTCCTGGTAGTCCTCGATGTTGTCCTGAATCCACTGCTTTGTCGGGTGTGTCACCGGATCGCACCCGTAGGCCATCGATGAGCCCTTGGATACATCCTGGTACACGCGAATGTAATCAATCTTCATGAACATCGGGAACGCATCGCAGATCGCGACCGTTGTGTTATCTGTACCATCACCGTAGCAACCACTTGTACCTGCATTGGGAGGCTTTGAGCCCCATGTGCTTGAGAGCGCAACATTAAAAATGAAGTACATTGGCTCTTCAATCATCAGCTTCTTGGGGTTCATCTGGGCGGCATTCTGCGGCGGGTTTGTGATTGCTTCTGACGGAATTTCGAAGATAACCTGTCCTTCCACTTCCCAGCGAATGTAGCCCGAGTCTCCCGTGACCCATTCCAGTGAGTACGTCACCCAATCCAGATAAGCAGCCATGTGCACTTCCCAATTTGATGAAATAGCGTCCATCCGGTACTCAAACATCGATTCAGCACTCGTTGAGCCACCCGACTGCGTACACTCCGATGCAGTGTTACCGGCATTACATAGGTATGAGCCCATGTAGGCGTTTTGCTTTGGAAAGCATGTACCATTTGAGTTGACACCCCAGTGCACTGTTCCATTGTCCTTGTAGCCCAAGTCAGCATTCACATCGAATGACGCCGGACACAAATCCATTGTGCACGCATTCTTGGTAATACCCTTAGTCACGGACGCGTTAATTGTCGCAAAGCTCTGTATATCGTCGCTCTTGACATCGCAGAGGTTGTTAGCGGCATACCGCAGTCCTTGGTACCATGACTTATGTCCGCGTCGATCCCAGTAGTACTTGGTCGGGACATCCTGGTTGTTGGCACCTATTGCCGTACATTCATAGCTGTAAAAGCAAAAGGCCGACGAATTATCGGTGAACATTCGGAAGTCGTTGGGCATTCCCGGTCCCAATTGAACTGAGGAAGAAATCGCAGTACCACCTCCTTCAAGAATATCGATTTCCGGAGCACCGCGTCCTTGATTTGGACGCATTCCAGACCCAGGGTTGGCATCACAAGCACTGATTCGCTGATTTTGTGAGTCAAAGATGGTGTCATTGCACTCATTGTACGAGAACGGCCACATCCGAGCTGTGGAGCCCGTGAAAATAGCACGACCAAGATTTCCCATTAACCAAATACCAGGCCATGTTGGGTAGTATTCAACTTTAGTTGCACGGACACTAGTCGAACCAGTGGCAACGTCTGGATTACCTGTTGCATTTGTGACTGCACCTGGCAATTGAACTCGTACAGTGACTAGTCCTCCTTGAAAACAGAATTTATTCCAACCTTGTACCATAGCTGATCGATAATAAAACGTCACATTCTCAAAACCAGGAGGTGAAATATATTCATTCCAGACTGTAAGATTTGTTTCATGAATATCAGACTCAATGTAAAAATAGCAATTGCTATCATTATCGCACTTGGTTCCTGTCATATTGGAGTAATAGATTTCGAGTGCAGCATTCACTCCATCTGGTTTGTCAATTGCTGTCCATAGATGATCTTCTTCAGCATCAAAACGACGACCTTCTGTATTAAACTCGTCGCTCATGACAAGTGTCCAAGTATCTCCACGTGAAGATTTATGACTTTGAGCTTGAGTCGACGTTGCCACATCGACCCACGGTAAAATTCCCGACTTTGTCTTGTACGTTGTGGATGTTGTGGAAATGCCCTGAGCCATTGCAGTGACAAGGAGAATGATAATTACGATAATTTTCCACTGTAACAACATGAGGATACTATGGTTGGACTGTTGAATAGCAGGAATTTGGCTACTAGCTCTTGAAACCTGAAGTGACTGGAATTTGGAGCAACTCGCGTAGGAAATACGAAGAGGCACTTCACTAGTCGGCAAGCAGTTTCAATCCATTTACTAGATTAGATTAATTACAGCACCGGGCGCAAATGGACTGATAATCTCATTATGTTACACCGCCACGTACGACTGAATCAGAATTGGTGGAAGTTTATTATACCTCAAAACGTTAGCAAGAATGCATTCATGGTGTCGAAGAGATGTGGTTTTCTGATATTCAGTAGCTAACTAGTATGAGATAGAAACCTACTTTGACAAAGTATAACATCGGAGTTTCTACGAGTTAAGCACTACGCTGAATAAATGTGGAATATCAGAATCCTAGAAAACTGATTTTGATCGAAACCGAGACCCTACGAATGAATCAAAGCAACGAATGTTGTTATGATATGGTTGTAACAACGACATATGCATGTTATTGTGCAATTCAAACATATTGATAGAAATCGATGGCAGTGCAAGCTCTATCATTGGCAAGATATTGCGCACAATTGAAAGCGGGTCATACGAGCAGCAACATTAAGAACACCACAGCTTTGGAAAAACATACAACAACATCACTTGATATATAGTAGTTAAGCTTGCTCGTTGCGCTCGACGATTTGATAGTAGTATTTTTTGCCACCGCCATTGAAAGTAGTCAAGCTTGAAATAATTTACTGCCTATTAAAATCAAACCGTGCAATGAACAACACTATTTGATTTCATCTATAAACAATGATCTCTTGTATTTGTTGTGTCAGTCAGAATAGTCCAACGTTGTCAATCTGTTGACCTGGGACCAGGGATGTCGCTTTGTAAGCCATCAATATATCTCTATCAATTAGTCATTGTCTAATGCTAAAAGTCGACCTGTCACGCTTGCTATTTTTTCAATCATTGTCACTGTACTGACGCGACGAAAATTTGAATGGCGCCACGACCGCTACCAACAGGCGTCGCCATGAGCCATGCTGGCTGCATCCCACGGTGCTGCAACTGACGTAAAAGCACGCGAGCGAAGTTACGAAATACGACAAACGCCGCGGCGCGATCTAAGCTGAACCTGTTTGAATGAGTGCCATCACCCTCGGCACATAATCTTCTGTTCATAAAAATGAAATTTTCCTCCTCCTGGTAGAACATCGTAGATTGCTAGTGCACGCTGACTTGACTAGAGTTTCAAAATTTGTAACGCCTCACAGATGTCCGTGTCTGCAAATCTTAATTTCCGAAGCTGCGGGCTTGGAACACGGAGAGCATGGTCGCGAGTACAAACCATGTACCCGTTCCAACAGGATTGTTGGCCAATAGGTACACTGTTAAGCAGCACAGCCCCAAGTTGAAAGCTATGCCTGGTACAACGGAGCTCCACATTGGAAGCTTCTGACACACACACGGTTTACCTTCAAACGCGCCAGTCTTGTAAAAATACCGAAGACGTTCCTCCTTCTCTGCAAAGCAATCCTTGAGCCTAATTTACACATGATAGTCAATACAAAACAGATGCTCGAAAAACGCTTGCAAGCTTCACGTCAAACGTACCACTGATCCATATGGTCCTTGTGCTTTACCAACGCTGATCGATGATACCGTTTTACGTGCATATGCACCTCCGTCGGGTACTGTCCTTGAATGAATCGCATCGGAGACGGTCGAATTCCTCCTATAAGCTCTGGATATGCAACTGTGAGATCTACGACATATTCTGGATCCAGCTTCCTCATACACAATTCAAACCCCTTAACTCTCGGTTGCAGTACAAAATCCCAAGTAGTATTTCCTTTTTTCACCGCAAAATCGTGACTTTGCTGCAGCGTTTTGTCATACAGCGCCGTTCCTTCCGGAAACATTGCCAGCCACGAGCCTATCTTTACTTCCTTGTACGATGCAATGACCTTTGATAATCGGTCTTGATCCGTAGTCCAGTTTCGATTAATATACGGATACTCAAGTAACATCATGGCCCACCCAACGCCAGGAGCGTATCGAATTACACTTTTCATCATGATGCGAATACGATCGTGTACACCGAGACGTAAAGCCAGATTCCAAAAGAAGATCCAATCCACTTCACTGCGATGATTACACACCAGTAGTACATGGTCTTGGAATTGGAAATGAATTTCTCCTTCGTCTCCCGTGACAATAATACGAACACCTCCTACAAGTTCGAGTAGACCACTTGACATGGCAAAAAACTTATCTTCTAGAAAGCGAAACACTGGACGGATAGAGCAAATCGATAGATTGCAGCATCGACGAAGTATCGTCAATGGCCATAGAATTAAAACAACGTTAAGGAATGCACAGAGAAGTAAAAAAATGAAGTAACTGCAGCCAATGACACATCCAAAACACGTCGGACACGCTTCAAACTTGGCACTTGGGTGTACTGCACGATAAAGTGATGGCTCAATGTCTCGCTCAGATGTACAGTTTGATTTTGTTGCAATAACGGGTTTGTTTACTGAAAATGAGTCAAATGCAGCGAAAGAGTCTTGACTTTGACTCATGATCTTCAAGATGATGGCAATTGTTTGACTGCGAACGACCTAAATCGAGATGGTTTAGGTACACCTGACGAAGATGGTTGGAATTGTATCAACAGGGAATAAGATTATATAAGAGACAAAATATATAAACTGAAAAAAAGTCGTATTACATTTGAAGAACTGCGACATGTCTCGGTACGTCTACGACTGAGGAGGGGCGACGTTTGACGTAATGGTTGGAGTCTTAGTGGACTTGAAATTCTTGTACTTGTCTATCGGATGGTACTTGACGTAATTAAATGGCCTCACTGAAGATATAGATGTTGTATGAGACGCAGTAGGCGAGCGATGTGAGAAATGCAATAGCGGTGAGAGCGCTGGCATTATCAGTAAAACCTCCATACATGCGCACGAGCTGCGCATCCAGCTTCTGAAGTGGCAAGATGGGAATGACGATAAACGCCAAGCTATTGACGCAGCACGTAACAATTACAAGGATTGCAATTGACCAACGCTGGTATGTCGTATCTTCGTCATTGCTGGATGGAAAGTATGACGCACGCTGGATAGTTGTGAGTAGTGTGCTGGCAAAGATTTTAAACATGGTATTAAATGACAGCGCAAGTCCGACGACGCCACCTTCTGATCCTTCCTCAATGATTTCAGTGATCGGAGCTAGCAGCACAAGTGCCGTGACACCAGTCGAGATCCCAGTCAATCCAGTCAGCATAATGTACACAACTGGACTGCGATAAAGCGCTGGGATGACGAGCCCTGCCATTACAACTTGAGGCACAATGGTCATCGTCGGAGCCATGGCAAAGAATTTTTTCCACAGTACGTTACGAAGTCTCCATCTCCATAAAGTCACCGTTAGAATCATTATTAAATCTTCTAAGCTCCAGGTGAGCAGTCCCGACGCGCTATCCATCGTATCCGTCCACTCTCTTAATGCTTGCGTTACAAGTGGAAAGCCAAAGTTGAGAAAGAAAGCAAAGCTTGCTACAACAACTAAGCTTCGCCACACAGCCTTTTGCTGTGTAAGTTTCCAGTAGCTTTCACACTTACATCTGAGACTTTGTTTCCGATAGGCTAACGGTTCATCAAGTCCTTGGAGCACGACAACAATTGTCGTGACTGACAAGATCATCAAGAGCATCAAGACAAGTGAGAGATTTAATGTTCTGGTAACGTTTTGGATGACATAGATGAGTAATCTGGCCGATATCTGTCCTGCTGTTCTAGCTACCAAGTAATCAGCTTGAAAAATGCCTCGTTTTCCTAGACTTTCACACTGAGATAACGTTACAACCGTAGTGTGGACGGAACAAAAGTTGATCATCGAGCCAAAACTTACGCCGCCCATTAGTAGCATCATAATATAGCTAAAGCTCTTGCCCATGGCTTTTTTGAGCTCGTTAGCAAAGAGACAACCAAGGCCAAGGATGCCCAAACACAATAGACTGAACGACAGACCAATAATCATGTATGACTTGCGACGAGAACCCCAGACTGGTACTGCGTCAGCGTATAGTCCTACAAAGAATGCCATGGATGCTGGCACTTCTACTAGTCGATCCATAGCTTCAGTCTGTGCCTCACTGAGCTGTAATTTAATGCTAATCATAGGTAAAAGCCCGTCACGAGCACCAATATAGACAAAAGAAGATGTAAAGGTAGCAGCTATAAGACCTATAAACGCCATGGAAAAAAACGGCATCAATCCACCAGGACGTAATCCACCGTACATATCATAGTTGTAAAAGTCTGGACCAGCTACAAAGCGACTCATGCTCATAACTGCAGTGCGGTCTTGATCCGTGCTCTTCGAGTATCTGGGGTCATCCATGTAGAAAGGCAACATGAAACATGAAAGGTTTAATAATGGAGTATGCTAGGATAGATAGTTGAGCGTAATCAACTTGACTTCTATTTTCTCGTCAAGGACGGACCATTATCAGGAACTACTGTATCAAAATATCTGAATTTCATCCGATTGTCATGTTATTTGGCAGCATCGTAGTCAAATGAATAAGAAATAGCGTCTATAAAACTGCTACATACAATATAAAAAGAATGACACAAGAAATGAGCTGTCGAGTATCACTGAAAGGTTGGATGTTAATGCTACTTTGAAAATCCAGAGCCTATAACCGGGAAGGCTGGGGGCGCGGGAACACCATAGACGACTGTGCTGTTTCTACGCATTACAGAAAGTCTGCGTCGTCTGTTTGCAGCAGCAAAAAATATTCTGATTGGAAGAAAAACAGACAAAGCAAACCATCGGACGGTGTTAAGAATCGGGACACAAAGATGACGGACCAGCTCTGCAACTTGAGGTGCTCAGCGGACAGAAATAAGATCAACTTCAATAATGGCTGCCAGCGATAGAGAGGTTATGGTACTCAGACTTGCCACAAGCAACCATTTTTTGTCTTCTAGCAGCAACTAATTGAGGTGAGGTAACTGCTAAAGGGTGTGAAGAAACAAGAGCAATACTAGAAACAACATCAAATCAACGGTAAAGCTAGTAGTACTGTATTAAGCAGTAGATACGTCATTATTTCTAGTTGACATGTTACTCATTACTTCAATATTTGAATTACTGTAAAAAAGCTTTGGATTCAAAAGATTCGGTCATTGCAATGAAGTGTTCGACATGCAACTAATGTCGTCGTGACGTTCATGATGCGTTGTTGTATACAATGTTCCATAAACCTACATGCCCGAATTTGCCTAAGAAATGAGCTAACGATGATGTCTTGATCTCGAGCGAAAGCAAAGCAAGGATCTTAACAGCTAGAGGATATTGTGCACCAATTTGGGCTGTTGCGCCCAAAAATAACATTTCATTGATCAGTGGGCGTTAATATCTGTCGACACTATGGAAACAAAATCGAGCATTTATGGCGTCATGCATACATCGCCTTGATTATACGTATATACGATATGAATTCTACAGCAAAGATGAATTCACGTTAGAACGTGGAAGTAGTGCTTTAGTCGGTATAAACATTTACAAGTAGTTCCCATGCACTTTCACACTGTTTTGATCGTTGACGATATGATGATTTTATTACTGAAATTGTTCTGATATAACGCGACAGTTTGGATGCAAAAGAAAGCATTACAAATTGACAACAAGAGGCTTCATATACATACAACAAAACTTTGTTATGACTCCTTAATTATGGACCAATTACTACTGTCGGGACTTGCGCACGTGATCCCTGCTCCACAGTATATGAACTTACCAAATTCAACATCTGTACAGCTCCAAGCACGAGCTCTCTCTTTTATTGACGATCGCACCATGCAATAAGAAAGGGTTTCAATGCAATTCCACAGACAAATCATCAACTGATGCAGTCGCAAAAAGCTGTCTTTAGCTTTCACCATGCCATCAAGTAAATAGCTTCCTGGCTATAACACGTAAATGTAATGGTACAGAAGCGATAGATTCCTATCATTATAATCTAAAAATATTTGTAGTAAAAAAAATCGCCTAACCATCAAGCTCCAGCGTTCATATCAACGCCATCCGCATTGTTTTTTTCACAACCGCAGGTGCTGTTTTCAAAACAACTCCTGAACTCGTACAACAAGCGATGCTTGATATAGTAGTCACTTCAGGTTAAGCGTCTTCAAGCAAATCGTATGAGTTGTGTGTAAAAAATAGTTTGAACGTTTTAGTCTTTCGTGCCTTTTCATGTTGTTAAAAACGCAATTTATGCTGCGAAACGGCACCTCGGTAATGCCCATAGCGCGACCCACCAAGATGATAGTAGTTATTTCTAGCCATCAGTTACATTCTTTGAATAGTTTGTAGTCAGCTTATGATGCCGTCTTATCATTGCCAAAGTTACATACAAGGCTGTCCCCAAATTTGTGTACAGCGGGTAAGATGCGAAGGTCGATGTGCAGTCGATCAAAATACAAAGTCAACAATTTACCTCGCACTTGCACACTATCAGGACAAGTCCCACATACACTCATACGCTTTAGTTAGCTTGCTATTTTATTGCTTTGTTTTTATCAATAGCATTGATGCGTCATTTCGTGTCTTTCGTGGCACTATTGAGTTCGTACGTGACGGCAGATAATGGAAATGAATATCCTACAAAATCAGGCATTAAAGCATGGGTCGATCCATCAACTCCAGAGAATGCACAGCAAATGACGACATCTCGAGGAGAGACTTGGCAGCTTGTTATGAGTGACGAATTCAACACACCAAATCGAAGTTTTCGACCTGGTGACGACCATATTTGGACATCGCTTGAAAAACCCGATGGCGTGAATGGTGCACTAGAAGTCTATTCACACAATATGACTTCCACGAGATGTGATGATGATGGAACTTGCTATTTTTACATTGAAGCTACTGATGATGTGACTTCTATCAACGTTTACAATGCATATCTTCAACCACCTGGGTATGAGAATGTGTCCTTCTACTACCGAGCAGCTATGGTCCAATCATGGAACAAGTTTTGCTACCAAGGTGGTTTAATCGAAGTGAGAGTGCAGCTACCAGGAGCAGTATCAAAAAAATCTGGGAATCCAGATCTTGTCCAAGGTAAATCCGGACGAGTGGCAAGTGGGATATATTACCCAACATGGCCAGGTATTTGGATGATGGGAAATCTAGGTCGTGCAATCTTTTCGGCTTCAACAAGTCGGATGTGGCCATTTTCCTATAACAAGTGCGAACCAGACATATTTGATCCCAAGAACCAACGCATTAGTGCATGTGATGACGATCCAGGATACGGCCTTAACATGAATCAGGGTCGAGGTGCGCCTGAAATTGATATTTTGGAAGGAGGAGGTTTAGCAATCTCGTCGTCATTGCAAATTGCTCCTGGGATGCCAAACGACTTTCGACTTTTTCCTGCGGAGGAATCACACGATGGAAAAGATATTTTCTGCGTTTACAAATACAGTTGTGAGACTCCTGGTGCGAATCTTATCGATGTTCCCACCGCATACTACGAGAAGGAACGTGGCCATAAGTCCTGGTACCAAGGACTCCGGTATGCCGCTAACAACTTTTGTGATACGTCAGATGATGAAAAACAGGATGTTGATAAGGTTAAAGCATCACTGAAAGCTGGAATTAAAGAGAACACTTGCACTACTAGTACCTGTCCAGCGTCATTTGACCCAAACAGTAATTTGGATCTGATTGACGGGTTTGGAGAGAATTACTGGGGCATTAATACCAATGGTACATGTTTTCCACTGATGAACTCGTACATGGGTGCGTTTCTCTGTGATCCTGACAACACGGATAAGAGCTGCATTGCGCCCCGCAATTCTTCCACACCGAAAACAAATTCTATGGAATCATTCAACTACCAAATGGACGCTATCTCAGCAAATTGGCCAGTGCATTTAGGTGCGTACACAGACTACTTTGTGTATCAAGTCGAGTGGGTCACTGGTGAAAAAGGTTACGTACGTTGGATGGGTGCCGGTCAGCCTCTTTTTGAAGTCACAGCTGAGGCATTTTCAGTTGTTCCACAGAATGACAAGAAAACTAACCCGCAGAAGCTCATGTTGGAGGAGCCAATGTCGATTATTTTCAATGTGGCATTGTCACGCTCATGGGGTGCCGTACCTCCGAATCCCGGCGACGAATGTCGTGGCGACGGTAGTGATGAGGAGGTCAACAAGATTTGCGATGAGTTTCCAATGTTCATGAAGATAGACTACATTCGACTTTATCAAGACTTGAAGGGAAATCGTGGAGGTGATGACTATATGCAGCTTGGCTGCGATCCAACGAGCCATCCAACACGAGAATGGATTCAAGGTCACTTGGATGAGTATGAAGATATCGATAATCCTTGGAAAGAAGTAACAGGAAAAGCATTTTGTGACACCGACGGCGACTGTACAATCAGCCACGATGGCTCCCAAAAGTTGGTCACTGGTAGATGTATCAAATCCCGATGCACATGTTCTTATCCAGATTCTTGGGGTGGACCTCGGTGTACGTTTGCTGCCGCTGAGGAGTTAAGAAGTGCAACTTCCAGCTCTCAGCGTATCTATGGTCCTTCAATGGAGATGTCGCTCGGTGTGGCAATTGCTACGCTCATTTCGACCGTTATTGCAGCCGGGACGTCAATTCGAACGCTGAAAAAGCAGGCCGATGAAGCTATTATGATTGCGGAGGGGAAGAAATTGGATCAACTGAGGCCATCATTTCCGACACGCTTGAACACATCTATACACGAGTTTGACGCGTCACAGCCCAAGGACAACTACAGTCAGAATTTCTTGTAGTTAGTTTGTTCCACTAATTATTTTATCAAGTCTTAGTGATGTTTGTTATCTTAATCGTATTGTATGATATCTGAGCGTCCAGTCATGCGTTTGGTAGCAAAGACTTACTTTTAAAACGATACGATCGTAAATACAATGCATCTATCAGTGACAAGCATGGTAGTTCAGAGCATATGAGATATCGAATAGATGCAGAATAGCTTTGGAAATAGCCACTGGAGGATTAACTCCAGCGACACTTATTTTTACGTTTGTCTAAGGCTGTTTGATTCACCATGCTTGCTTTGCGATCCGACAGCACGTTCTGGAAACTACTGAGGCAATAATATGATACGGGTTTCTGTTGTCTGCAAGCTTGAATAAGTGACACGCAAAGATAGGTGATGCATCAAATGGATACTATTCTAAAAGTTATAATTGTTTTGTCATGAATTTCTTTGTCAAAATCAATGGCTTTGATACATTCCGGATCAGTCACCAGAATTAGAAAGAAGAAGATGCATTGGAGGCGAAGCATATCGCTGATGCGACGCTTGTACTCGCGATTTTTACATTTCGCTGTGATGTCAAAGATGACAAGCATTCGAACATCAAGTATAGACATGCTGTTTGTTACCTGGTAATCTTCTTTTGTGAATACATGTAGTTCGAGCAGATTTGATTCTTCGAATTATACAAAATTCTGACTGTAATTGTCTAGTGGTCGACGTTGCTGCCCTTGATCGCTGTTGTACGAAGTCTTCGACTGCATCGTCGTAGAACCGTCCTCGCTGTTGGTGTGGACTGCCGACTTCTTCAAGTCCTTCATTGCTTTTGCCTTAGCGACGGTGAAAATCGACATATAAACAGAGACGAAAGACACGATCACGATCACCAATGCTACACCTATTGATACTTCCATCGGAGGGCCATACGATCCCTTGCTCATAAAAGCTGAGGATGTGGTGGAACCTGAGACAGCAGTTGTGCATCGAGGACCACCCCATGATGACGGGTACGTACACTCACAACGCGACTTCACACACTTTCCTGTCTTTAGTGCACCTTTGCCCAACGTACCGCCAATCGTGCAGTCATCATTGCGAGTGCAAAAAGCTTTTCCAGCCACTTCTTTCCACAAATTGTCATTGTCCTCATATTCGTCAATGTGACCCTCGATCCATTCCTTGGTTGGGTGACTTGCGGGATCACAACCAATCTGCATGTAATTGTCATCGTCCAGATCGTCTCCACGGTCTTGATACAACCGCATGTAGTCTACTTTGAGATACATTGGAAAAGCGTCACAAATTCGGTTGACCTCTTCATCAGAACCATTGCCGCGACAGGGCTTGCCTGGATTCGGAGGAGCCGCACCCCACGTTCTCGACAACGCCACGTTCATAATGATGTACAATGGTTCTTCCACCATAATCTTTTGCGGATTCGTCTTATTCACGGACTGAGGGATGTCCAAAATGGACTTGGCTGGAACCTCAAACAACGGACTTCCCTGCAGGTTCCATCGAACGTACCCGTTCTTGCCTGTAACCCATTCAACTTCGTAGATAAGATAGTCGGTATAGATACCAACATGCGCGGGCCAATTGGAGGAGATAGCGTCCATCTGGTAATTGAACGAGCTCATTGCATTGGACTTCGGCGTGTTCGGGTCCCTTGGTTGAGCACATTTATAAAACGTGTTGTCGGGATCACAGAGGTAGCTACCGAGGTAGACGTTCCACAATGGGTAACAAGTGCCATTGGAATTGATGCCCCAATGGTCACTCCCGGAGCCGTCAATAAGACCCAAATCTCCATACACATCCTTCGAAGCAGGACATGTATCGACCCTACAACTGTTCTCTTTAATGCCAGCTTTCACCGATGCAGCAATCGTTTCGTAGTCCTGTTTCAACTTAGGGTCAGGTACACAGAAATTGTTGGCCTTGTAGCGAAGTCCCTGATACCAAGACTTGTGGCCGCGGGCTTCATACGCCGCAGTTGGTACACCTACGAAGTTTGCACCTATCGTGTTACACCTTCCAGCGTAGATACAGTCAGCCGGATCAATACCATAATTAAGACCCATGACACGGTATTCATCTGGCATCCCTGGACCAATTTGAAGCGAAGATGAAATCAAAGCTCCTGCGCCTTCAAGCACGTCAATTTCTGGAGCACCACGACCTTGATTGGGGTAAAGTCCGTATCCAGGATTATCATCGCAAGCACTAATGCGCTGATTTTGAGGATCAAACAAGTCAGGTTCACATTCATTGTATGAAAACGGCCACATTCGATTTGTTGACGCCGAGAAAATAGCTCGTCCGAGGTTACCCATCATCCAGATACCAGGCCACGTCGGATAGTACTGACCTGTCTTGACTCTGCCACTGTTCCCGGCTGCAATATCCGGGTTACCGGACTCTTTTGATACAGCTCCTGGTAATTGAACTCGTACCTCAAGCATCCCACCTTGATAGCAAAACTTATTCCACGATTGCACCATTCCCGCACGATAGTAAAAGGAAAAATCCATAAAACTTGGTGGATGTGTGTACATGTTATAGACACGAATGGTAGTGTCGATTTCCATTGACTTGATGTAGTAGTAACATGTGCCATCGTCGTCGCACGCTGTAGACGTCATATTGTGCGAATAAATTTCTAGAGCACCATTGACACCATCCGGTTTCTCAACTGAGGTCCAAAGATGATCGTCACCGGGTTTAAAGCTACGATGGGGTATGTTGAACTCGTCACTCATGACAAGGTCCCATTTTCGACCACGTAAAGAAGTGTATACATATCGATCCTTTGGCGTGTCAGGGTCGACCCAGGTTCGGATACCCGATTTAGTTGGGAATGTTGTGCCAGCAGTTGTCGCAATCTTGGCATGTACCACGTCAAGCATCACAAGACAACTCGCAGTAAATGCCCAGGCTAATAAGCTTTGGGCTCGCATTTAGGCTGGTGTCTTTCACTGTGCTGTAGCGGCTAACTTCACAAGTGGTGAACTCGACAATGCGAAATCATCCCATCCTGAGCAAGGGCAGAAAAGACTCTGGTACATAGGGTAGGCTTTTCAACTTGTAGCGACAGCAGCTCGCGACAAGCGTGATCTGAGACCATTCCTTGGCCAGTTTGACGTCGACAATCGTTGCTAACGATGCGTCGATACAGAGCTGCACTGCAATATTTGGCGTAGTCAACGACAGCCAAGACAGCTTCACGTATTAATGCCGTGCATCGCACGCCACGGACATTATTTGCCAGCTCAATTTGAACACTTGAAGCAGAAAAGGCGAAGACTACGCGTTTGGAATGACGTTAGACTATCCAGAGTTGCAAGATCGTATCTGTTGCTGATCCGCAACTAGTTAGTGCTGCACGGTTGATGTCGCATCACTCAGACCCTCGATAGCAACACAGACATTTTTCTTGAATCAAAATGGGTGGGGCACCTGTGCAACTATCACTATACTACGTGTCGTTCATCGATCGACGCAGTCTTCAGTGCTGCTACACTTGACTCGTTTAAATTTGCAATCAACTTTTTCATTGCACAACAAGACAATGCCAATCACAAGAAGCATCTCCAGTAGAGCAGCATTGCTGTGTCTCAAGATTACTACGAATTAGCTTGTCATCTGTCTGTCTGTCTTTTGTTGTAGGTTTGTTTTAAAGCAAGTGTGGGTTTGTGACGTTATCTTTGGCATTCCGCGACGTCGTCGGTGCTTTCCAAAAGTATTGTCTGGGTTTGTTTAGTTGGTTGATCCTCCGCAGACATCACCATTTCCACCATGCAGTGGCTAATGGTATTTTCAACTCCCATTCTTGCAGTCACTTTGCTTGAATGAAGGGCACAACAAATGAATGTCAAATACCCGGTGAACCATATCTCATGGTAAAATGTTTTCTGCTCGTAAAGAGGTCGGCCGATGATTTCGTGAAGCTCGATGTCAGAATCCATACTCTACGAGCGTTGGAATGTATAAATCGCGCCACGATCGAGAGCAACGCGACTGTAACGCTTTATACAGTTGAACTTACTTTGCACGTTGTACCTTCGTGCTCTATTTCAATCGAGAGAATGACCAAGAGTGCTGTAGTCGTACCTCTCACTCTCTGGCCGTTTTATCTTTCAAATGTTCCTTCTGAGCTGCTAGAAAAGCTACTAGTCGTCTCGCCGCTACCTTCTTTATTAAATTCCAGCTTGATGTCAGTGCTCCATCCACGCTTGATTCTAATAAGAGTACAGTGGTGAACAATGACGTAAGTTTTATGAATGGCAAGGGTGAAGATCACCGGAGCACCAAATGATAGATACTTACTTTTTACCGTTCACACTAAAGCCTTCTTTTGTGATTTCGACAACATGAGCAGTCTTAAGACCGAGTCAATGGACTTACAAGTCAAAGGCTACGAGTTCTTCCACAAACTTGAAAGAGCCATAGCAAAGATTGGAAACATCGGTTTTATTTACGTCGTCTTCTGCGGGCTGCATTCCAAACGCGATTGTCGCGAGCGCTTCCATGACAACTGAGATTGCTTTCACTGTCCGGCGGAGCCGTACCGAAGAAATGAATCCCTAACGTGGTCAGTTATTGGCTCATTTGCTTCGTGCAGGCAAGCTGCTGATGGAGCACAATGTCAAGTGGAATCCAGGACCGTTAGAAAGACATAGCATTTTACAAACAAAAAACCCTTGAGCTGCTGACGGCTACTCAGGTGTCAAAAAGGTCAGTCCTTATACCTCAACACTATGCCTTAGTCTGTTTGTTTTTCTTATTTACTCTAGCCCTTCCTTGACATGTGGCCGTCCAGATGAGATTTGCTCTGATTGCTGTCGTGATAAGAGCCTGTCGACACAATTTATTCACAGCCGTACACTCACAACAGCCGAAGACAAAGGCATCTGCCCGGTATTCTTAAAGGTAAAGTATGCTGAATGGTGCAAAAAGCTAACGTTTACGTTTACAAGCAGCTGGAAGATTCACGAGCATAAGTTTAGGATGTGGCGAGAAGCTTGAGCAACAATCGCAGCGTGGTCATACCACTTTACAATTTGCGAGGCTATCTTCAGTGTAGATGAAAAATCGCTTCATGATGAAACCCTTTGCAGACGTGACGCTTACTGACGCGGAACGCACCAAGCTTGTGGAGATCACCGACACGATTATTATGGATAAGTTTGAAGAATACGAAGAACACTTGAACATTGGCAAGAATGTTAATCTCAACCGCTGGAAAAAGTTTGTCAAGTCGGGATCCACCACAACGTACTTGGAGCGAAAATCTTCGAGCCCTCATACAAAGCTGCCGCAACTGCTAATGGTTGGTCCACTACCTGGCTCGCTCGACGATATTATGTTTGGAATTGTCAATCCGACCATCGAGGCCATGCGTATCAAGTCGTCATACCTGCACGACTTTAACTCTGGGGCTGTGCTAGCCACCATACTTGAGCCGACTATGAACGATCCATTTCGATCAGTGGTGGCCAAGTGGGTAGAAATCGACATTCCACTTGCTTCAATCGGTCTTGTCCGGAACCGGGACTACACTTTTATCGAAAGTACGGGGATCATGCATCTCAAAAATGGCGAGAGAGTGGGTTACCACCTCTTTCATTCCGTCAGTTTTCCGGAAGCACCGGAACTTCCGAATCGAGTACGTGGCAACATGTCATTTTGCGGCATTTTTCACCAAGAAGCACCTGATCGGACTGATTGCCGTGGAACGGGTATCATGGACCCGGGTGGTGATATGATACGAGCTATGGCCGTTATGGGTATGGTGCAGGCAACAATGGCTGGACTCAAGTATTCATACTGTGGCCAGATGAAAAAGTTGGCACTGTTGTTAGAAAAGAAGCAAACAACGACCCGAGAAAAAGGCACACCGGTCTACAGACCGCTTTGTGTCACGTGTCTAAAGGGTGTCAAGTACTCAAGACTCAGTGGCCAAGTGGATACGTGCGAGCTGTGCTTTGGCACACTTTGTTGTTCATGCAGAATTTCGAAAAAGTTAAATTTCATTGCACCAGACCTTGCTCTGATACAGCGTAAGATCACGGTTTGTGTCAAATGTATGATTGTAGCAATCCAAATGGACACACAAGAAGCTGCACGAGAGCAGTTTGTGTATAACAAATCGATCACTCCATCAATCTATGATTTGTCGGTAGTGTCCGCTACAAGTACAGGTTTGGAAAGCACCATGTCTTCAATGACCGGATAATTTTGGTAAAATTTATTGCTCAAGGTTTTTTGTGTAATACTGTGTAAATTAATGTATCAAGATAAGGTTGGAATTTATGGCAACATTACATGTTCATTTTAAGTAACGTTTTGAAAACTTGCTCAAAATACTTTTACCTGTAAATTAAATACTATAGTCTAAAAGCACCGTAGATTTACTAGACTAATCAAATATTTGCTAAATGGATAACCTGTCATATTTGGTACCGATTTGAGTCAGCCGACATTACACTTACCGATTGCAAGCCATTTCAATGTCTGGTCATAATGCGACCCCATACCGTCTGATCCTAGATCAATGACATTTACAGATATCAGTAATAGTAATCTGCGGCTATCGTAGATATACAACAATGCCATACAACAAGACTGTACTTATAATCGCTTACAACAAAAAAGACACTAGTAGCTTAAAGATTGACATAAAAAGCTCTTTTGGGATCGTAAAATATCCTAGCACCTTCTTTCCAATTCTTTGCAATCTGAACCTAGATTAACGTGTACTACGTGAAGTAAAAGGAAACATTTTTGGTCACTTTTGTCAGGCCAAGCAGACGAAATATGGTAACAAAACGTTGATATAATGGTATTACGGACAAAATGTCATCTAAACAAAGTTCTGCTGATAATTGTCCTTTGACACCGCAAGATTTGAACCACGAAGATTCGTCTCACTAGTTAAAGGCGTTTCCATTGCAGCAGCCTTTTGCTTTGCATCTACAGCAGCCATTGCCACCTTCGACTGTCGAGCTGACTTGACAGCAGCCATGTAGACTGACAATGCCGATAACAGACATGCCACAACTGCAAGAGCAGTAGCAACTTCCATCGGAGGACCGTATGTCTGGCTTGTTGTTCCCGTCGCAGAAGAGAAAGATCCGGAAATGGCAGTTGTACAGCGAGGACCTCCCCATGATTGGTACAAACATTCACAGCGCTTTTTCACGCACTTGCCTGTCTTTAGTGCACCTTTGCCCAACGTACCGCCAATCGTGCAGTCATCACTTGTTTCACAAAATGCCTTGCCAGACACCTCGACAACTTTGTTGTCGTTGTCTTCATATTCGTCAATGTGACCCTCGATCCATTCCTTGGTTGGGTGACTTGCTGGATCACAACCAATCTGCATGTAATTGTCATCGTCCAGATCGTCTCCACGGTCTTGATACAACCGCATGTAGTCTACTTTGAGATACATTGGAAAAGCGTCACAAATTCGGTTGACCTCTTCATCAGAACCATTGCCGCGACAGGGCTTGCCTGGATTCGGAGGAGCCGCACCCCACGTTCTCGACAACGCCACGTTCATAATGATGTACAATGGTTCTTCCACCATAATCTTTTGCGGATTCGTCTTATTCACGGACTGAGGGATGTCCAAAATGGACTTGGCTGGAACCTCAAACAACGGACTTCCCTGCAGGTTCCATCGAACGTACCCGTTCTTGCCTGTAACCCATTCGACTTCGTAGATAAGATAGTCGGTATAGATACCAACGTGTGTAGGCCAATTGGAGGAGATAGCGTCCATCTGGTAATTGAACGAGCTCATTGCATTGGACTTCGGCGTGTTCGGGTCCCTTGGTTGAGCACATTTATAAAACGTGTTGTCGGGATCACAGAGGTAGCTACCGAGGTAGACGTTCCACAATGGGTAACAAGTGCCATTGGAATTGATGCCCCAATGGTCACTCCCGGAGCCGTCAATAAGACCCAAATCTCCATACACATCCTTCGAAGCAGGACATGTATCGACCCTACAACTGTTCTCTTTAATGCCAGCTTTCACCGATGCAGCAATCGTTTCGTAGTCCTGTTTCAACTTAGGGTCAGGTACACAGAAATTGTTGGCCTTGTAGCGAAGTCCCTGATACCAAGACTTGTGGCCGCGGGCTTCATACGCCGCAGTTGGTACACCTACGAAGTTTGCACCTATCGTGTTACACCTTCCAGCGTAGATACAGTCAGCCGGATCAATACCATAATTAAGACCCATGACACGGTATTCATCTGGCATCCCTGGACCAATTTGAAGCGAAGATGAAATCAAAGCTCCTGCGCCTTCAAGCACGTCAATTTCTGGAGCACCACGACCTTGATTGGGGTAAAGTCCGTATCCAGGATTATCATCGCAAGCACTAATGCGCTGATTTTGAGGATCAAACAAGTCAGGTTCACATTCATTGTATGAAAACGGCCACATTCGATTTGTTGACGCCGAGAAAATAGCTCGTCCGAGGTTACCCATCATCCAGATACCAGGCCACGTCGGATAGTACTGACCTGTCTTGACTCTGCCACTGTTCCCGGCTGCAATATCCGGGTTACCGGACTCTTTTGATACAGCTCCTGGTAATTGAACTCGTACCTCAAGCATCCCACCTTGATAGCAAAACTTATTCCACGATTGCACCATTCCCGCACGATAGTAAAAGGAAAAATCCATAAAACTTGGTGGATGTGTGTACATGTTATAGACACGAATGGTAGTGTCGATTTCCATTGACTTGATGTAGTAGTAACATGTGCCATCGTCGTCGCACGCTGTAGACGTCATATTGTGCGAATAAATTTCTAGAGCACCATTGACACCATCCGGTTTCTCAACTGAGGTCCAAAGATGATCCTCACCGGGTTCAAAGTTTCGACCTTCTACATTAAACTCGTCACTCATGACAAGGTCCCATTTTCGACCACGTGAAGTAGTGTATACATATCGATCCTTTGGCGTGTCAGGGTCGACCCAAATTGGAATACCCGATTTAGTTGGATACGTTGTTAGATCACTACTAGCTTTAATGAAAAGTGGTAAACATGCCCAAGATGAAATTCCTATTGTCCATAATGAAATCGAATGCATTACTTGCAATAATACCTTTTCCCAATTGAGTTGGAGGTGGTAGATTCGAGAATGATAAATTTGACAATCAAAAAATGGACAAAAACCTTGTTCTTTGACTATCGCAAGCGGTTGATTTGAGCAATTGGACGCGACATTTTCGAAGCGCCGAACCCATGGCGGACAAGACAGAGCAGAGCCTCTTTAAGTAATTACACTGGATGAAAATTCCGTTTCATATACTGGTCTATCCCGTTTGCATTTGTTTGATTCTGGTTCCAAGCTGGTAGTACTGTTTCCAGCTGGTAGTGTAGAACATGAGCGTTTTAATTGTTGGATGAGCTGTGCATTTATACCTATTGCGGTATAAATAACACGCAATCACATATCGTAGATGTATCACTGGATTTTTTCACAATGCCTGTTTCTTATTGAAAAATTAACCTAAGCACATCCTGACTGAAATCTAGCCAGACGTTTTTGAACAGAGAAAGCACGACTTACGATTCTGCGCGGTAGTCGAGAGTAACTAACTCACTAACTACATATGCATTTTGTTAATGAGCTTCTTAACACTAATAGTACTGACCACACACGGAACAAGAAGAGATTCCTCTCTAGCTTTTTGCAAACAAGAGGTCAAAAAAGCTTAGGACAATGTGCGGAATATGAGGAAATTTGAAACTGAAAATTGCATTGTGAATGTCCACGAAACAAGAAGAAAGCAAATCTCTGTGTGGACTCTCCAGATGCTTTTAAATTTTGTTGAGGAACATTTTATGTTGTGGGGTTCATGTCATATCTTTCGACTTGACCACAGATCGAACTGACTCTATATGGTAAACGTTAATACTCCTTGGACATTCATGAGACTTTTCGATACTTTTACATCCTTATGCAGTCGTTAAACCCTTGTTAGGTTTTGCATATAAACAGCTACCTTTGTATACTGCAAAGAGTTTACTTACTTCCTTTGTAAGGTCATGGTCAATATGAAAAAAGTTTCGTTTGTCATCCTGCTGCATGCACAAAGAGCTTTTCATATATGAAATACTGCAATAACTTTCATGTTACATGTTCGATAGCGACCCAATTACCGAGTGCATTGATCGCAAGGATGTACAGCATTTAGTCTTTTGCGCACAATGTGATCACTTTGTGGATGTCACGTTCTGACGCTACTGATACTTCATTAGTGCCATCGTGTATATCGCACCATAAGTCTTAAGGCTTCTCACTTCTTCGTTGTGAAAACGGAATGCACGCAAGGAGCTGGGTAGGTATCGGTTTCACCGTGTGCTTTGGAGGGAGCAGCGCGAGACATCAGACGATGGTGTGTCAGTGGAACGAATCTATCGACTGATGCGACCTTTCGTGAAGTCAGTGATTGGTATCGTCGTCTTGTTCGAGATTAAGGCGCAAGTACAGGTGGTTGTTGGGTATTGACAGCTGAGTTGGCGTCGAACATGAAGAAAGAAATCGAATCGGCTTAATGTAAGCATCTACTGGCTTCGGTGTTTAAGGACAACACGCCTGCCTTATGAGCCAAATGCGCTTCTAGCATTGGGATAGAGGTGCATACGTGATTGATACGATGGATGTCATGAGAAGATTTGTATCCAGTATTTATCGCGAATGCTGATGTACGAGATGGAAGCTGTGAGCAAACGCTTGCTGGCATCAGCAAATGACGTGAAGGTTGATTTTCGTTCCACTCTCGATGACACGCATCAAACTCAGCAATACTTAGTGACAGGACTCGATATGGTACTATAACATATGTTTAGCAATCGGGCCATACGCGTCGATATTAGCGGAGGCTGCAGCACTATTTCGGCCGCGTCTTCGCTAACACAAGGTTATCCTCTGTCTCCAGCGTATGATACGGATCCGGGTACTCGCCATCCTCCCAGTCAGCAAGCGAACGCGATGACAGGCTGACAATAAAGCGGTATATAAACGGCTGATCACTGGCTTCACGCAAGTCCATCAATGTAGCTGGAGCTTGATTCAGTATTAAGATCACTGATTTCCGCGTCACTTTCAGCACCACTAGCAAAGGCGGGAATAAGCATCGTCAGTTGTTATTGCAAGTATACCGTGGCAGTTCTTGGTTTTTACGTACCACCAAACTCCATGTAAGTCGCATTCAAGTGATGCCATATTGCGTTCATTTTGACAAATGCTACATGCGTTAAAGCAAGGAAGTATTATATTGGCAGAATTGGTCAGTCATATTGGTAATGCAATGTCCGTTGAAAAGAGTGTCAAACCTACCGTGAAAGAAAAGTTCGTAAAAGGCTGCAGGTTCTTCAAAAAGCTGCCAAAACACCTCCCTTCTTTCTGAATATTGGCCATCCCCAAGGTGCAATAGCCCAGCCAGAAGACACGTCACGTTGATTCCTGCTACACATACTGGATACCATTGCTTTCTGTGATCTCCATCTTGCGTATTTGGCGTTTGTTCTTCATACATAGCTTTCATTTCGGCCGGATGTGCCTCCAAGACGTAGAGCAAACACTTTAATGCCAAGACTCCACCTCCTCGAAAGTCCGTCTCTGGGTTTGCGTTTTGAAATCCAAGTGCCACCCAATCGACTTGAGTCCTGTCAAATACTTGTGTATTCTTTCTGTCCTTCACCCCTCTCCAAAGTCTTTCCAAGGACATTTCAAGCCACTCGTCTCCTGCTACAAGCTTTTGTGTTAGATCTTTATGCAATTCCGTAAGCCCTCTAATGGCCTGTAGAGATGGCTTCAGAGCTAGAGCTGAAGTAGTTCGTGATCGTCGTTTTGTCCATGATTCTTTCACCGATTGAAATGCATTTGTAGCTGATACTAGAAAATCTTCATGTGATGGTGGATCTCGTTTATGAAGGATATTAAATGTAGAAGGTACAGAAAGTACGCGCAAAGTTCGTCCTAGTTTTGATTCTAAATGTTGTCCTGACTCGGTATCCTGAATATTAGTTTCTAGAGGGATACACAAACTGCTACACATTTCACATTCAACAAGCTGTGGGTGGTTGAGGAATGTACAAACACGACAAGTCCAGGCTGCTACTGATGCGTCCGAGGTCGCATCTGGTGACGAAATGGGATGAATCATAGACGGTTTTTTCTCGTTTTTATTGTGCACTGTAAGCAGTTCCTGTTGCATATCGATGGGCAACGCAGCAAAGACGTTTGGGTCAATGGTCGTAAAGTCCGCCATGATAATAAGGTCCCGATTATCTTGAAGTGAGCTAATGGGACTATAAAATGTACATATTCCTGGATTATGTAACGTAAATGTTACCTTTGCGATATCGGTTCATTTGTTCTATCTTTACTTTTGAATGATGGCTACTATTGAGTTGAAGTTATGGCATAAATTAGTTTAAGCTCCTCATTCGCCCCGTCACTCAATGCATTCATTAGCTTTGACTCTACTTGTCGTATTCCAGCTGTCTATTTCTAATAGCTAGTGTAGCTTTCTTTCATCTTTTCACACGGAGGCATGTGCTTTCAACTGAATGTCCTTCAACATTTGAGCTTGGAGCTTGTTTCGGATCAATGAATACATAGATAGCACCTTTGTGCTCACTGTGCACGAGCATTTCGCAGCATATGTCAATACGTAACACCTTTGACATGCAGATAGCTGATGTCATTTCATCAATGTCGAGAAAGGCATTGTGCAATTGCTGATTTCTATAATTCGCGCAGCTGTTGCTCTAGTGGTAGCTGCTAAACGTCATAGCACATGTATTCATGAATATCCGGTAGTTTCTCCATCACATAACAAACTTATCAAGTGGTTATTCAAGTCACTAGTTACACAAGGTCTACTTGAGCTCTTTTGGTGTCATCTCGACGTTACACTCGTTATCCATTCGAAAGTTCTCAGCCTAATTGAGATACTGAATCTATCCGTTTCAGCTTTCTATCCGTTTCAGCTTTCTATCCAGCATTGAAGCTTCATGAAAATGGCTTGAAAAATGTATCGACCGACTTCGCGGGTATTGGCAAAACAGTGTTGATGGTTATTATTCGTACTTGACTACTGCTTTTCACAGTTAGTTGTGTTAAACATTGCAACTCGTTGTAGCGATTGCAATTCGAGTGTCAGGATTGCTTTTTAATATTATCCCAGCCTTGATAAGCGCTTGGTTCTTTCTTGCTTCGGACTTCATGCCCTTCCACACTGAAACAAACGTTAGGAAAGCAACGATCACTGCGACGCCAAGGGTCAAAAGAATTGGTGGACCGTACACTCGAGTTGTAGCTTTGGGTGATGTAGACTCGGCTTGAGCTATCGTGCAACGAGGACCACCCCACGAGTTGGGATACAAACAGGAGCAGCGTGAATCAACGCACGATCCCGTTACCAAGCTCGCTCCGGCGTAATTGCCACCGATAGTGCAGTCGTTGTCCGTTTTGCAGAATGCTTTGCCAATCACATCAATAACAAGATTGTCATCGTCTTGATACTCATCAATGTGGCCCTGAATCCATTCTTTAGTAGGGTGACTTTCAGGGTCGCAGCCAACCTGCATATAGTTATCAGTATCGAGATCATCACCCTGGTCCTGATACAGCCGAATGTAGTCAATCTTTATGAACATCGGAAACTCGTCACAAATCTTGTTTACCTTTTCATCAGAACCATCACCACGGCAGGCATTCCCGGCATTTGGAGGTGTCGTACCCCATGAACTCGACAGAGCAACGTTAAATATGAGGGACATGGGCTCCTCCAACATCAGCTTTTGTGGATTATTTTTGTTACCATTCTGAGGCACGTTAGAGAATGTATCTGCCGTGACTTCAAACAGGGGGCTGCCATCAAGCATCCATCGCACGTATCCCTTCCTACCAGTGACCCATTCCATCTGATAGACGAGAAAATCCGTGTAAACTCCAAGATGGACGGGCCAGTTGGATGAAATCGCATCCATCTGGTAGTTAAACGGTTCCATCGCGTTTGATTTCGCCGTGGTGGAATTACGCGGACTAGCGCATAGTGCGTTTACGTTGTCCGGATCGCAGAGGTAGGCCCCCATGTATGAATTCATGATTGGAAAGCAAGTGCCGTTAGAATTGATTCCCCAGTGGTTTTTGCCAGTGCCATCAATGAAATCCATATCACCATTGACATCGAGTGAAGCAGGGCATGTCGTGATGGTACAAGAGTTTTTCAGGATACCACGAGCAACGGATTCATTAACTGTTTCAAAGCTTTGAACATTGACACTCTTCTTGGCACAATTGTTGTTTGCACCATACCGAAGGCCTTGATACCAGGACTTGTGCCCTCGCTTCTGTTTGTAGTATGCCGTCGGGACATCAATCAAGTTGGCTCCGTCCGTCTTACAGTCGTACGTATAGACGCAGTACGGGTTGGCAGCATCAGCTCCATCGGGGTTTGCAGGGAAAAGACGAAAGTCGCTGGGCATACCTGGTGCAATTTGCAGTGAAGACGAAATAGTCAAGCCTCCACCTTCCAGTAAATCAATTTCTGGAGCTCCACGTCCTTGGTTGGCATTTAGTCCGTAGCCTGGATCATCATCACAAGCGTTGATGCGCTGGTTCATTGGGTCAAAAATTTCAGGCTCACATCGATCATACGAGAAAGGCCACATGCGGTTTGTCGAGGAAGAAAAGATAGCTCTGCCAAGATTCCCCATCATCCAGATACCTGGCCACGTCGGGTAGTAGGAAGTGTCTGTCACTTGCCCGTCTTTCCCATGTACCAGGTCTGGATTGCCCGAAGCCGTTGACACTGCGCCTGGTAATTGTGCTCGAACCTCAAGCATCCCTCCTTGGAAGCAGAATTTGTTCCAGGATTGCACCATGGCTGCACGATAGTAAAATGTTGAATTTTGGTATCCTGGTGGATGCGTGTACATGTTGTAAACGGAAATGGTGCTGTTTTCACTAGCCACTTCGATGTAAAAGTAGCAGCTTCCATTATCATCGCACTTGGTACTCGTCATGTTATGTGAGTAGAGCTCCAGAGCTCCGTTGACTCCGTCAGGTTTGTCGAGAGAGGTCCACACGTGGTCGTCACCCGGACGAAAGCTTCGATTGGCGACGTTAAACTCGTCGCTCATAACAAGCTCCCATTGTCGTCCACGAGAAGTTGCGTAAGTTTTTTGATCATCGGGAGTATCAGGATCGACCCAGCTCTTGAGCCCGGACTTGGTCGGGTACTCGAACGACATCAAGCTGCTTTTTCCTGCAATTAAAGTCGTGGCAAGGGTCATTGCTGTCAACACTACTACAAAGGAAGCTTTCATCCTTTTACTCTGTCGTAGAAAAAAGTACTGCGAAGGTTTTGTCGAGAAGCAAACTGAGAGGCGACGAAATACAAGTGCAAACGTTTAGTCAAACGTTTGGTCATTCTGTCGTAGTTGAGAGCTAAGGCGTTGAGATGATAAATACAGTAGTCTCGTATAATGTCGTTTGACATCTGCTAGGCACGCGGATGAGATATCAAGCTGATCGCCAAGAGACAATTTAAATGACCACACGAAGAGAATCTTACCCCTTTTAAATGAGCGTTTGCTACTCATTAGCACCACACAAATATCTTAGGTATCCATCGATAACTGATACATTCTTGAACACTAGTGGACTTCTCTGATGTCCTGGACCGTGTCCCTTTGCAGAGTGGCGCGCTTTTTAATGTCCACAAGACTGGACGGGCATTTTTGCTTCGAGAACAGCCAAACCCATACTGCCGCTAACACTGCAGTCGTTGTTCGTCTTACGACACGCTTTGCCGTGCACTATCCCACTAGATTCGGAAGGTCTGCATTTGGCCCTGACAATTAGCGCCGAATGTACATTTGCTTATTGGAGCACGAAACGATACTACATCCGTTTGCACAGGGAGAACTCGTGGAGGCGCAAGAGCGTGTGCTTGCATCAGCTACTGAAATCGAGACTCAATGAAGATGGAGATACACAATATAATATAATTTACATTCTCCGCGGCCGGTACGCTTACCGATAAGCACAGATCTGCCAAATCTCTTACACAAAGTTCTGACTGTAGTTATCCATAGGTCTCAAATTCGTTGAGTAGTTCTGGCCATTTCCGTCGTCAATGCTGTTAGACATCTTGGCATATGCATTCATTTTGATCAAGGCTGCATCCTCCTTTTTGATCGACTTCATGGACATGTAGACCGAAATAATTGACGCAAACACGATGACACTTCCAGTAGCTAGAGACAGATTCATAGGCGGGCCGTACGCTCGTTGCGACAAATTGCTTGCACTGGTACTTGTAGATCCCGTTAAAGCAGTGGTGCATCGTGGACCACCCCATGACGTCGAGTAGGTACAATGGCATCGGCTGTTGACACACTTTCCAGTCTTTAAATCCACCGAGCCGACGCTGCCTGCAATAGTGCAGTCGTCATCCTTATTGCAAAAGGCTTTGCCTGACACCTCCTTCCACGGGTTATCGTCGTCCACAAACTCATCAATGTGCCCGTCAATCCATTTCTTTGTAGGATGACTAGATGGATCGCATCCAACCTGCATGTAGTTATCCTTCTCGAGGTCGTCACCATGATCTTGGTACAAGCGAATGTAGTCGATCTTCATAAACATCGGGAAAGAGTCGCAGATTGCATTCGTCACGGGATCAGTACCGTTGCCACGGCATTCCTTGCCCGGATTTGGAGGCGTCGTGCCCCATTCCTTTGACAGCGCTACGTTAAAGATAAGGTACATAGGCTCTTCTGACATCAATTTTTGCGGGTTGTTCATTTTACTTGTTTGCGGCACATTTGAAATTGCATCCGTAGTCACCTCGAAAAGCGGATTACCATCCAGCATCCAGCGTACGTAGCCGTTTTTGCCAGTGACCCATTCCAACTGGTACTTGAGGTAGCTAGTGTAGGCGCCCAAGTGAACTGGCCAATTTGACGAAATAGCATCCATCCGGTAGTTGAACTCACTCATTGATTTGGACTTTGGTGACGTAGCATTACGAGGATTCGCGCACTTTGAGTGGGTGTTATCCGGGTCACATAGATAAGCTCCCGTATACGAGTTCATGAGAGTGTAACATGTTCCGTTCGAATTGATACCCCAGTGAGAAGTCTTTGTGTCATCCATAAAACCCAAGTCGCCGTTAACATCTAGCGAAGCCGGGCACGTATCAACAGTACATGTGTTCTCCGTGATACCAGACTTTACAGAAGCAGCAACAGTGTCATAGTCTTGCTTGGCCTTGGGATCTGGCTTACAGTAATTGTTTGCCCCATAACGAAGACCTTGGTACCACGACTTGTGGCCGCGATTCTTTTTGTAGTAAGATGTTGGCACATCAATCATATTTGCACCCAGTGTTTTACAGTCATACGTGTAGACACAATACTGTTTAGCCCCATCATCAGTAGGAGGGAAGAGACGAAAGTCTTCTGGCATTCCAGGAGCAATCTGAAGCGACGACGAGATGACCAATCCACTGCCTTCAAGAAGATCAATTTCAGGAGCCCCACGACCTTGATTCGGGTTCAATCCGTAGCCAGGGTTGTCGTTGCAGGCATTAATGCGCTGGTTCTCCGGGTTAAATACGTCCGGCTCACACTTGTCATAGGAGTACGGCCACATGCGGTTTGTTGATGCCGAGAAAATAGCTCGACCCAAGTTTCCCATCATCCAAATTCCAGGCCACGTTGGGTAAAACTTGGATGACTTGACTTTTCCAAACTCACCCAGTGCTAGATCGGGGTTCATAGACTCTTTTGTGACAGCTCCGGGCAGTTGGGCGCGCACTTCAAGCATTCCTCCTTGGAAACAAAATTTGTTCCACGACTGCACCATAGCAGCTCGGTAGAAGAAGTACGCGTCCTGGAATCCAGGAGGGTGTGTGTACATGTTATACACACGGATGACATTCACGTCATCTTGAGACTCAATGTAAAAGTAGCAAGTGCCATCGTCGTCACACTTTGTACTCGTCATGTTATGCGAATAGACTTCCAGAGCACCATTAACACCGTCCGGTTTGTCGAGAGAGGTCCATATATGATCGTCACCAGGTCGAAAGCTGCGTTTTTTTGTATTGAACTCGTCGCTCATAACGAGGTCCCATTTACGGCCTCGGGAGCTCACATACGTTTGAAGGCCTGCTGGAGTGTCTGGATCCACCCAGACCTTGATGCCCGACTTGGTTGGGTAAGTCGTGAGACTTTTGACGGCTTTGAGAGCCGACACCATTGACGGCAAAAAAGCTGTCGCTAGTGTCACAAAAGCTGTGACTCTCATTTGACTGATGATACCTGAGGTAGCACACAACTGTCGTCAAGTAGGTTCAAAAAATCAACTGTCTATGGTCGTGGTGAATTGCAATAATCGCGTGATCTTCAAGCGTCTTCTTGACAAGTGATCATAGCCATGTGGTAAATGTTGCTAGGCGGGGCGGTGGGGGAGAATCTCTGTAACGATTGCGCGAGAGTCTCGCATTGTAGGTACGCCATCACGCTTGTCTGCATCTATGCTTATGTTTTTTGTATAGAGTCCTCCATACCGACCACGTCGAGTTGTGAGTATTCCCTACCACTTACGAATGGCAAAAAGAAAAAAAAGCATAGGCGCTGATTAAGGTCTAAGACTAACCGTGTTGTGTGGATTATTATGGAGGTGCGTGAGGTTGTTGTTAGGGCATGTGAAGGTGTGTTACATTTAGCATTGACAACATGGTCCAAGAGATCCTAATGGGCGGTCTAATAGTAGACAATTTACAACTCTTTGGATCAGTAATGAGTGAAACTACTTGTTTACATGCGACTAGTATGAACTAATAGTAGGCAATAATCACATAGTCTGATCAGGGGTTTGACCGTTTGACGTCTGTTGAATGACCTCATATTCGAATCAAAACTTGAAACTAGATAAGAGGCCTTTCAACCGTCATGCGGTTAAAGAGTGGACAAGAAGTTATTCTTATACTACGCCCTCTTTACCCTCGCAAGAGTATAGTTGTCACCTGTTGTCCCTCGTGGCTTTATTACGACAACACAGACAAAAGCATTTCTGATTCGGGTGCGGTACGTTTGGCAAAACGTATCGAGACAATCCTCTACTTGATGATTGTGTCGACGCAGAAGATCTCTTATTGCAGATTAGAGGTGTCACTGTATGGAGTCAATGATGTAACAATCGTCTGGTTTAGATTAGATGTTCATCGAACGAAGTCGTCTGCACGTTGTTGACAATGAAGTATATTGCTTTGTTAACGCACGATACAATTGTCCATGCAACATTCTTTATTTGCAGTAATCAACTCTATAAGTAGATGGCCAAGCTCATTTTGTATGCAACGCTGCGAAGGAAGCGGGCTGCGAACAATGAAGGGTGCCGACAAGTAGTAGCGTTTTATTACTACTATTTTGTGATATTAAGAACGATCGTAGCAAAAGTCATTTGTACGATTGATCTTTTTCAGATAATAAATATATCATAGCCGTAACTACTATAGTACTATGTTGCACTATTACTATATGATAACAATCATATCACAACTTAGGCATACATGGCTGTATATAATAGGCATTTGAGCTCACTATCTATCGTTCGTGTGTACCGGTAGTCAATTGCATGTATTGGTAGTCAATTTGTGAGCTAGTATACATAACGTAATTGCAAATAGTAAAACTAGACAATCTATCTGTATATATTTATACGGTACCTACGACTAGTGTTGTTTACAATTGATATCTCATTGTAACGGTCGAAAAATGCTGTACTATTTTTATATATAGCATTTCACCAACTTAACAGCACGAGCAACAAGAGTTCATCTATGATTCTTCCATACATTCGAATACATCACTGTCTAACTATTATATCATAAATACTTAAGTCGTTAGCAGCCTAAGCCACCGACAAAAGTGAGGCACGAGGTCGTTGGAATAAGCGTCATGATGGTAACAACTAACGAATAGAGGAATAGTACGAGACACAATAGACAGATTCCACCACTAGCACCCTTCGTAAACCCGCCATACATACGTAACTGCTGGGTATCAAGCTTTTGAGAAGGAAGGTAAAAGAGTCCAACCCACGCCAAAGCATTTAACGTAAAGTTAAGAAACAGTGACAGCAAAACGTCCCAACGCGCGTCGGACGTGTCAGCAGCTACTTTGACCTTGCTAAAGTAGTTGATTCCATCAAAAGTACCTTGAACATTTGTATGAACAAACGTTGTTACACAACGTTGCAAAGTAAACGTGAGACCCACCAAAGAACCTTCCAAGCCCTCTTGAACAATCTCCGTTATGGGGACAAGAGTATTTAATAGACCCATACCATCCGCAACGTACGTCACGGTATAGAAAACTCGGTAGAAGTACCGGTTGCGCACCACATCCAGTGCGACCATAAGTGACACGAAAAGGTTGGGTAGGATCTGAAAAGCTGGCGCCAATGCAAAGAATATCGACCACAGCCGATTCATGAACACGTAGCGCCATACTAGCAAGGTACCAATCATCACAAAGTCTTGACTAATCATCACGAGCAATGAGTTATCCTTATTGGCACCTGCCCACTTGGTAACGACATTCATCGAGTCGCTAAACTTGATGCCCAGGAACAGCGTGAAAAAAGAAATAAAGGCAAATATTCGCCACACAGCTTTCTGCTGCATGATCTTCCACAGAGTCCGACAGCGAGTCTTTGCTGACGCGTTGAGCGAATACGCGTCTTCGTTCCAGAAGTGAAACACAAGTGGCAACGGTAGGATCGAGATTACTCCAAGTATGATCAATGCCGTCGATGCCGAGATGTTCGGCTCTGGACCCGTCCCTAAGGCTAGAAACGATATCACCGACGCGAAAATGGACACAAAGCGACGAAAGATCAAATACGACACTTGAATTGCACCACGGTCACGCAAAGATTCACGCTGAGAATACTCGATCACTCGAGTGTGGACACACACGTAGGTGATAATGCAGCCGATACTAGCCAGAGCGACAAAAATCATCGAAAGCACCAGTACCATTTCTTTACTAGCGGTCGAGTCGTTATCGAGATATGCACTTAAACAGGCAATAGCAAACACCGCGGTGGCGTTAATGATGCAACCGAGGATCATGTAACCTTTACGTCGAAGACCCATGATTGGGTAGCAGTCCGACAACAGACCGACAAGGAAACTCAGCGTCATAGGCATCCGGATCAATCGCTCGACAGCCATGACCTCCGTCGAGCCTAAGTCCAACTGGGTCTTGTATATAGGCTGCACGAGCACGAGCAGTGCTTGGTATGACAGCATGGAGGTAAAAGTAGCGGCAATAAGACCTAGACACTCTATCGACAGAAAATTTATGGCGCCTCCCTTACGGAGACTACCGTACATCCCGTGGTTGTAAAATTGCTCTCCTGTCACGAAGCGATTGCCATCGTCGTTAAACGAAATGCTGCTCACATTGAAATCCTGCGGTGAATCGAACGTGCTGAAGTCCATTCGGATCGATGGCGGCTGAGGCAAGATCTCGTTGACTGTCTTGGGATCGTTATTGAGTTCGGACATTGTGAACGAGCAACCAGGTGGAAGGGCCTGGGGTGTCAACTGCGTTGCCCCAGTACGACGTGCGATTACCGACGAGCCCCAGCGATCTAGTCGAGAAATGAATTGGCGATGGAGTCAGCTAAGCACGGTCGCTTAGTCAAGAGGAAAACGCAGCAAAAGTGGGGCTTCTTATCTGTGTATCGATGCTGCTGAACTGGATTGGACGAGTGACGAACTCGGTGACGGAAGGAGAGATGAGAGCACTGTAAAGGCTTTGCGCTGAGTTCCACTCACGTTTGGTCGATGGAGATCGCATCTCTAGCATACGTAATGTGTAGAGTATACAGGTGAGGGGATGGAAGCTCTGTGGCTTGTGTGACTCTTCATGTTGACAAAGTTGTCAGTTGACAGCTGAATAGAGATCAGTTAATGCGAAACGATATGTTTGCAATGCAGCATCTTACGTGGGTTATCGATATAGTAGAGACCTTTAGCTATTTCGAGGTTGTGACCAGCTTACGTAAAGCTTTATGCACTGCATTCAAGTGTGACTGAAGGTTGTGCATGTTGTTCCAATGATTGTGTCGACGAAGTCCGATTCCTGGTGGAATGTTTAGTGGCACTTCAGTCCTGTAACGCACTGCGTCGAAAGAAAGTTGCGGTGGCGATAGAAGTAAGTGATAACGTGCGATTTGCAACGCCGTTTCAATGAAGTTTGACAAAGTGGTCATAAAAATAAAGCAGCGAGTGATTTATCTTCGATTTATATTATTGCAATGCTCCATGTGTAGGAAAGACTAGTACTCACACATTTTTGTCAAATTAAAGTTGGGCTCAAAAGAGAGGCCTGGACACGACCCGTCCACAACTTAAAGAGAACTTAGGTAATGGTTCTTTGAGCCAACGTCCTTGACAATAGACGTTCTAAACGACATGGTGTACAGGACGTTGGTTGATACGTATTACCCATGAAGAGACAGATGCCAATTGTAGCTTCAAATGCGTCCGTCTTGTATCAAGTTACCAGACAGTGTTTTAGTGCTCGGCATCAATGCGTCAGTCTAAATGTTGCCAATCAATCTGAACTCATACGGACATGGGTCCCTCATTTGATGACATAGGTGCAAGAATCAATCCCTGTGTAGACCACCATCACCGTCTTCACTGCAACAGTCGCATGCGGCGCTGGAGCTTCAGCAATAGATTGTTTTTCCTCTTGCGTCTTTACTTCCCTTTGCACTGCTGCTTCGATCATCATGTTCTCCTCGTCTTCAACAGTATTAGTGACCGCTTTCTTTCCTACCCTTCCATTTCTGCTTCATCTTTACAGACAATGTATCTTCCCACAGCACGGAGTTTGCCATGAACAGTGAATCGCCAAGGTGTCACATCCCTTCCTCTCGTCAAACATTTTCGTTCTTTCGGTGTGTAAATTCACAGCCTATATCGCTCATCTCCTGTCCATGTCGGACACCATCTCCGTTGAATCCTATTCACAAAATGTTGGTGTTCATACGAATGCAGCACCCATAAACTCCAGTCCAGAATCTTCATTATTTAGGCCACCGCTCGCCCACTGGCTCGTGACTGATGGCCTCAACTCCCAATACATCAGCTCCATTGGCAACCTTTGCTGGAATTGCTTCTAATTTGCTGTATCCAGTAGAATACAAAGAGTGCCTGCTTATGACGCGCTTATGTGTGATCTACTAAGAAGAAGAAGAGGGAGCCGCCATTGCTGTTATATGCATTGGCTTTCGATGGATCAAACTTATCAGGCAAGTCGCTGAGCGGCCATTACTCTTTTCCTTGACATCGAAACGATATGTTGCATGTAGATCTACATTTACCGCTTCAATGGTTCTCAATAGGCAGCAATAGCCCAAAATGGGCAAGTAGCAAAAGCTAGCTACTAAAACTGTTCATAATGCTTCATGCAAGAGAATTTATTGTATGAATGTTCCTCCTGTCAATCTATGAGATACTTAAAATACACAATACAAGACATAACGCTTCCAACGTATTGCTATCATATTTTTAAGATACGTCTGAAGCTGTCTTCCCTTGCGTCTCTATCACTTTGGACTTCTTTGATACACCTCGCAATGGAGTGCTCACCTTCAGTACGCCCTTAATATCATCCACATCCTTCGATACAGCATCGCGCTTAGCTGACGCCTTTAGTCGTTTGATCGAAACTGCATGCCGCAGAGCCTTACTCTTGCCAAACGTAACCTTCTTACTTGACTCCATCTTTTGCTGCTCCTCTCGTACAGCCTCAGCTTGCACTTCCGCCTTTCGCTTCTTCAAAGCCGACGCTGCCTTTCTTGTTTGTTTCTTCCGAGTACGTTCACAGTGACCACAGAGGTTCTTGTCATTTTGTACCAAACCTTTGCCAAATCCACCGCAATTCGCACAACGTTTAAACTTATTACCGCTCCTAGTCACCGCTATCTCCTTCGATTCAGCACGTTCCTTCTGTACCTTCGGCGGCTCTTTTGCTGCTTTCTTGTCCTTCACAGAAACAGCAGCTGCCTTCCCCACCAGCGCCACAACTTTCACCTCCTGCTTTTCCTGCTTAATCATTTTATGCTTCTTCGTACCCTTTTCGGTCTCTGCAGATAAGTTTGTCATTTCAACTTTCTCAACCTTCACCTCAGTGACAGCCTTCTGCTTTTTTGCTTTCTTTTTCACGGACGCAGTCAGGAACTTTACCTCCTTCACGACTTCAGTCTTCACAATCGCTGCCTCAGGTTCTACTTTGACTCCCGTATTAATCTTTCGCTTCTTCGACTTCATACTCTGATCACAACCCTCCTCGTCCTTCGTACATTTCGTCACACTTTTAGTTGCAACAAGCTTCTCTTCCCGTTGCTTTGTCTCTTTTCTCACAGCCTTATTCTTAGGCTTAGCAGCCTCTTCCTGCGCAGCCTGGAGAGAATCAACTCGCGTAATGGTGAAGAACTTTTTGTATAACGTGTACAGCGCTGAACGGTTACGTTCAGCCGTGTCGTCCGCCGACGCAATAGCAAAGATACAATGCTGTACTTGTGCTAGCTCCACCTTTTCAAACACCTTGTGCTCCTCTTCATCCTCTTCTTCCTCGTCGGTCTCCTCTTTCGCGTCTTCCTCTCTTGTCTTCGACTGAGGTCCAAACTTGTACTTAGTCAGCATCTCCTCAAACACCACCTCCCGCACACGTTTAAACACCGTCTTGTCATACTCGCTTCTCAACAGCGTGAAGAATGGCTCTAGCAACATCAAAAAAGCCTCTGTCGTGATATCCTTGCCCGCTGCATTATACATTTCTGTCAAGTACAGATCAGCTAAATGCAAACGCAGTCCGTTGGGCAATTGACTTACGACCTCAGTCAACAAAATTGTAACAAACTGCTGCACTAATGTCTCTTTCCAGTCCTGCGTACGGAAAAGTACTACCGTCTCGCGCACAAACTTGCGAACGAGCGAGTAAAATTTGTCCAGTCGGAGACCGTCCAGTCCATGCCATTCCCTCTGCATGGTCCGAAAAAAAGAGTGCACAAAATCTAATGCCAGGTCGATACTGGGTATACAATGCACTAATGCAGCTAGATTCGACGAGAGTTCTTCCTGAACAGGTCGCTTGTCGCTCATCCACATGCAATAGAACAGCGCCATCCAAAGTTTGTCCCATTCTAAACTTGTCCACGCTTTCTTCTTGGTTAAGTATACGGATAATTTCTTTAATGCACGATCACGATACTTTTGTTCTGTTTTTTCAAATTATTCGTTAAAAGATAAATTACCAAATCAAATCAAATAAATTACCAAATGTATCAGATTCAATAACATCAATGTAATGAACGAAAGATAAACAGTAAGTAATGATACACTATATATATATACGTAAGCGTACCGGTATGTGCAAGGTGTTGACCAAAGCGAGAGGCGGCATTCTCCATGGCCACAAAATGTACACAAGCCTCTAGCCTTACAAGCCTCTCGGCGTGATCACAAGACAAGTTAGTGAATGGCCACCAACGAGTGCATGCTTAACGCTATGTGATTGGCGATATTACTATCCTTTTTTGTCCAATGATCGTACTCACTCCTTATTTACTTCTTTATTCGCTTAAATCGTTTAGTCGCCGAGTCAAAATGGAAGGCGTATTATATACGCGGGATGGCCGTAGTAAACTCTTGCGAGGTTGGCACAAGCGGTACTTTGTCTTGTCTGACACAAGTGGTACGCTACGTGAATACACGTCCGACGTGAGAAAAAAAGAACTGCTGTCTCGAACACGTCGGGCGTCCTTTGGAACGTCCTCCAACTTGTTGACCTCGTCGCCTTGTCGCAACAGTAATAGTGGGATGACGTTACGTCGAGAATTTAATGTCCAAGGATTACTGGTTAAAACATTATCGTTTCCTCTCGTGGGAAGACCAAATGCGTTTCAAGTGACAATGATGTCAGTGATTGCGTCATCACCGTCGTTAGTGGTAAGTGATAATTTTGGTGGAATCAAATTGATTCTTAGTGCACGTCAAGCGGAAGAAGCGAGTTTATGGATGACTGCTTTGCGGTCAGCTGCGTTAAGACTGACGATACCAAGACAATTATCGAGTCCAATGTATTGGAACGGTCAAGACAGTAGTGACTTGAGGACAGAAATACAGACAGAAAGTGATTTTTTGGACGTGACAATGCCACAGCGAGCCGAAATGGCGCTTCTAAGCTCTGTCTATGAGTGGGTACGTGAATGTTGCGTCAAGACATCACAGAGTTTAATAGTAGGTGGTATACATATACCAAGAGGATCGTTGCTCGTGAGTGCCAATGGCGTTTCTTTGCAGACTTTAACGTCAGTGGAAGTAAAAAAATTACTGTTGGAATCAACTGGTCCTTTACCGGTATCTCTACGATTTTTAAAATCTCCTGCAAAATGTGGTGTCTTACAAGCCAGATTGTATACCAGTCCATTAACGCAACTCAAGTCATTGGCAAGATATCGTAAATCAAGTCGAATGGATTGGAAAGAGCAACTTGTGGATTTATCAGGTGAGTTACTAACTTGTCAGTTACCGATGAAAACACCATTGGCTCTTGGTGCAACTCGAATAACCAGTAATACCGGTTCGAACCTCAGCAAGACAAAACGTGTATTGATGCTCAGTAGTCGTAGCACCGTTAAACCGGTGCATGAATTAGTCTCGGATCGTAAGTTTTGTTTCCTCGTGACTGTGGAAACGCATTCAATGTTATTCCATGCAACATCCGAATCCGATCGAAGAGCTTGGGTCAATGCAGTGCAACGTGCTATTACAATTGCTCAAGGATTCATACCTGGAGGAGGAAGTGCATTTGTCCGTGGTTCTTTTGATGTTGATAGCTTACAATTGCAAAGTTCGATGAATATGCGGCATTCAGAGCAAGCAATTGGAAGTATTGTGGATAATGATCAAGATACGATCGTATATTGTGATCATGCAAGTGATAAAGAAGTAGGATTGAGTTTACTCGATACTATGCCATCACTACCATTGGTAGAGGATTGGATCCATGTGACGCAATCAGCCGCGTATTTATCGGATAATGAACTCACGGAAATGCTTCGAGTTTTGCAATCGAGTGGACGGTTTATAGAAGCTCTCCAGTTGATGCAGAAAAACACAACGTTGCGTTCCAAGTACTGGCAGCAAATTTTTCGCTGGGCTCTAACTCCTGTCCATAGTATTGAAGAGAATAAGGAACTTTTTCAGCAGCTAATCGGTTCACCTCTTTCAGAAGAGTACGTCGTGTGGTTCTAGTGATTTTTTGTGTGTAGATATTTGTTAAGCTGTTTGTTTTTGTGCTTTCTTTATACTGCAGAGACGATTTGCAAGTACAGAAAGATATTCCTCGAACTGTAAAGTGGCTAGCTGGATCAGCAGGTGCACCATACCTCAATGAAAGTGAACGTACTGTTCGACTGGAACACTTGGAGCATGTGTTGCATGCTTTCTTGTCAAGCTGTTCATTGGATGTGCGAACCGATGAAGATCCGCTTTCGCTTTCGTCTGCAGGATTGTCTCGATCACTTCCTAGTTTTTATATGCAAGGAATGAACGGGCTTGCATTTATCTTGTTGGAAGTACTGGACAGCGATGAAATTGAAGCGTTTCAGTTTCTTCGTGGCATTGTCGCTCGGATTCTGCCTCACGTGTTTGGCATCTGCTGTGCTGGTACTGGACGAGACCATTTTGACCTTTTTCAGTCGCTTGTCGAGGTTGGTGACGTTTTACAGGAGGTGGCACGGCTGCATCTGCCCAATTTTCACTCGGCACTTGAGCAAGCTGGATTGCCCGTATGTTTGCTGGCGTACAAGTGGTTTCCTACGCTCTTTTCAGACGTGACGTTGACAGCATCGCACTCCCAGTTGCGCTTTGACACACTAATGTGTTGTTGGGACGTGTGTCTTTTGTTGGGGATTGAAGGCATGTTTTGTGTTGCATTGGCATTATGTAGTGCTGCTGAAGATGATGTTCTTGCATTAGCTGAATGTGGCGATGCTGTAAGTAACAGCGCCGAGCAGGTGAGCGCAGCCGTGGGACGTTCGTTGGCGCTCCTGTCCCCTGAAGACTTGGTCACTAGAGTTTGCGAAGTACTGGAACTATGCAGCCACCCGGTCTTGCTGAAGCTTCGTAACGCACACCGCCGTCGACTAAAGCTTGGATACTCTAAAGTGGGCAATGGTTTTGCCGCATCGAGCTCTAGATCTTCGCCGGGTAGTGTTGTGACGGAGAAGTCAGGTTCTGTGCCGTCAACACTAATGACAGTGACCGATCTCGACTCGGGCAAGGTATTTAAAATTTCGAATTCTGGAAACATGTTACTACCGACGACAGCTTTGCAGTAGAAATGGCTACATGCTCTCTAGAGATTTCCGGGCATGTTTATAATGCCCAGTGATTTTGCTCGGGCACTGGACATCACAGGTGACTTATGACTGTCAGCAACGATGCGAAGAATGTTAAATTGGTACCCTTCTGAACATTCACGTTTTTTTGCGCCTTGACGAAAGGTGCTGGCTGGCTTGCACAACGCAAGAACTATGAGCGCAGGGACAAGTGCAAGCTCAGCGTCATGTTCCCGAGACCTCAACTTGATGCTAGCGATAGAGTGCAACAAACATCACAGCGACGCTATCTATATACTGGCAGTGTTTTGGCGGACCGTTGTCACGGCCTCGATTACGTTGGTGTCTTAACAATGCAACACAGAAAAGAGCAAGATTGTACGCCATCTTACCAAGTTCTTTGGAAATTGCTCAGCCAACGATTCATCATGTCTTGCAGACTCGCAATCTCGTTGGCCGTTGCCAAGACATGGCTGGATTTAAAACCATAGCTGCGATTGACAATGGTGATATTCGTATTGTGCAAAGGGTCATACCATGATCGACCACGGGAGCGTTGACTGTGCCATTTACCGTCTCGGGTTCTGTGATGGGCTGGGAAACTCACAATGCTCATTTGGTCTTCTATTTCCTGCGCTCACTGGAGCATTCCAGATTGTTTTGAATCTTGAAAGCTTTCGTGCCATGTACAAATCTGTACATACAATTGAGAAACTAAATAATTGTACCAGATGAGCTCTATTGCAACCGCTACACATCTTTATCTCAATCACTTTGTCTTTTGTTTTTTGCGCATGGAGCGACGTGGCTGATGTTCATTTCCAGTATCATCGATTTCAATCTCATCCGTAGACTGGGTTTTATCAACATTCTTCTCGGTCCTATTAGCTTCTCGCTTTGTTTTTTGACTAAACATCGCCTTTATCTGCTGCAAACGCAATTTCTCTTTTGCAGCACCAGTGCGAGTAAACACGTAAGTGTCATCACTTGAAACTTTGTTTGAAAATTGATATCCTTCCAAATTAAACCTTGCAATACCTTCCAATGAGTCCACTCGGTTCTGAATCAGATATTTGCACATGAGTCCTCGAGCACGTTTCGCATACACCGACTTGATCTTTCCGTCGTCCTTAAACACACAATGAACGACTACAATTCCCGCTGCTGTTAATGCCGAACACGGCAAAGTCTTGAAATATTCTTGTGAGGCAACATTGACTAGAACCCGTTGTTGTTTCATACCCTCATTGGCTTCTTCTCGACTAAATAAAGCGTCTAATTCAAATACAAGCGTTTGTGCCCAGAATTCATAGAGATTTTTGCCTCGATTTGTATGAAATTTTTGACCCATTTCGAACCGATAGGGTTGAATCAGATCCAATGGGCGTAAAATTCCGTATAAACCGGATAAAATACGAAGATGGGATTGGGCAAAATGAAGGTCCTTCGTGGACATATGTTGAGCGTCTAAACCCTGATATGCAGGACCATGAAAGGCCAAGACCGCTTGTTTTAGGGATTTACTAGGGTTTGTCGCTTCCGTGGCCGTTTTTAGCGTGTCAAAAGCTTGATATCGGTCATAATTCAGCTTGGTTAATGCGTCATTTACACCAAGTAATGACTTGACTTGAGTGTGCGATAATGAACGCAACTGCTCAATCAATTCGTGTGTGTCGGAAAGAAAACGCGGCTGAGTGCATTGGGTGATACTAGTAGTCGCCATGTTCAGTGTCTTTGCTGGAGACAGCACGTACACTAAGCGAGCGGATGTCATTCGTAATTATCCTGTCTCGTTGTAATTTATTTCGGTAAAATATTGCAGTAAACTCGAAGCACAGCTTGATTTTATTGTACTATTGGTTGATTTGTATACTGCATTTTCTAATGAAATGTCAGTTTTACAGTGACTTTTTAGTATTTTATACAAATGGCTTTCAAAACTGTTAAGACAAAGGATTCAATTATTATTAGACAAAATCGTGTAATTAATTCTTAGAGTGATGAAGAGTCTGTTACCATAATTTAGGGACCTACAAAACACACGAAATTATCGATTTTAGCCAGGCGACAGAAGCTAGAAAAGTAGGGGTATAAAGTACCTCTATCGCAAAAAAAAAAGTTCGCTTTTGGTAATCAGTAAAATACTCAGTTCTCACGACGTAAAATCACGTTAAATTAGAGCATCTGGTTAAGTGCAGTAGAATGGACCACCAAGATATCCTCATCCAAGTGCATATGGTGCATAGAGATAACACCGTTAGGCATCCTCACCATCTAATAAGGAATTCAAGACTTTTAACCAATCCTAACGTTTCTGCTTGTCTTCAAACTAACGGGTGCATGTCTAATTCCCACACGTCTCTTTATCTTGTCAAACCATCGAAAATCTCTTTGTCGTAGTTTGAGTTCGTAGTTCTTCCAATTGCTGCTTTCATTGCACTCCATTTCTATATCGCGTGTGTCTGAAAACAACAACCTTAAGTTCTTCATTGATCTTCCTCTTAACAAGCTTGACAACCACTCTCCGTAACCAAAATATGTCGCGTGTCGATCAGCCATTGCTCTCTGTCGCATCAAATGGCAATTTGACGCCACAACAGACATATTCAGTGCAACGAACACGCTTTTTGGATCGATGTGGTCGCTTTAAACAGTCACTTGGTCGCTTTAAGTATGTAAAAAGGTTTTTTGATTGAAAGAGTGGTGATATTGGCAAAGGTTAATTGAAACGTGCTTGCTTAATCTTTGCAGTATTTATCGTAAAGGTGGTGACTGGCGTAAAATCTATTGGGATGATCCATTTCATACGGTTATCAATACACGCACATCAAGGATCATTTGGGGTGTTTTTATTGCGGTAAGTAAAGCAGATCTTTAGTTTGTCCAGAACCGCAGCAACATTTTCTTGAGATGTTTTGGTATCTCATACATCCATGATGTTTGTTATGTTGGACTTGTTGTAGTATTTTTTCATTATCTTTTTCTTCGCACTGGCATATCTGGATGTGTCATTGCGTCATCCAACGTGTCATGTTGGACTCTCAAGTATAATGGACGCCTATGTCTTCTCGCTTGAGACGATTGTTCGTATTGTTGCTAGGTGTTTTTTTGTCATGTCTATCAAATGTCATGGTTAACGTCTTGTTCATTGCTCATTATAATGTCGTGTGTTTTGAGTAGATGACAATTGGTTATGGTGCACCTACGGATGATATTTTCTATGGAGGATGCACGTCTATGGCAACGTTGCTTACTTTGGAGGTGAGTCAAAACTATATTGTGATGAATGTTTATAAGCTGTCGTGAATTAGCTGATGTTTGTGTGTCTGGTGTACTATGTAGTCTTTTGCTGGTATCGTTCTAGATTCAGTTTGTATCGGTATATTCTACGCGCGCTTCTCCCGTGCCAATGTGAGTCCTTTGCTTGCGTAACGTGTGTTGTTAGGCACTTACCTTACTTTTCATTGCCTCAGCAACGAGCGAACACTATCATGTTCTCCAACTCGGCAGTGATTCGGAAGATTCGAGGGCACTTTTATTTCATGTTTCAGACGTGCGAGCGACGTAAACACCAGCTCGTGGAGGCACACGTTCGCCTGTATGCTGTGCGGTATGACGTAGAAGATGACGCGGATGAGCCCAGCGACTTTCTTTTTCAGTGTCACCAGATGCGAGTGCAGCAGCCCGATGATGACTGTGGCGCGATGCTTCTCATGGTGCTCCCGCAGGTTGTTGTTCATCGTATTGACCAGTGGAGTCCACTTTTCCCGCCAGAATGTCTACCACGTGGTGGTGGAGACGCGAAGAACCACGCAAGCTACCCGGATCCTTCACAGCGTCAGGTAGACATTGACAACGGGAACCGTGACGGCGGTTTGCCTGGCGATCTGAAGAAATTCCAAGAACCTACAAAAACACAGATTATGAAGCACCTTCGCAAAAGCGGACTTGAGGTTGTCGTGATTTTGGAGGGTATTGACAGCTCAACATCCAACACTATGCAGGCGCGCAACTCGTACACTGACGAAGATATTGTGTGGGATGCTACATTTGAGCGTTGTGTGGTCAAGACGTCAAAGGGTCTATGTGTTGACTTTGACCGCTTTCATTTGTTGAAACCGGCCCCACTGGACGCTAAACACTGTGCCATGTCGTCCCAATTTTGAGAGGAGCCGTGTTGTCAGGCAGTCCTGATGATAGTACGACTGCACGCTGTAAATAGGACGCGCTCAATTCCAAACGGCATTTAAGAGGTCGTAGGCCCAAGGCGCTGTTGAAGTCCGTGCTTGTACATCATGATTGCTGGACAAGAGCTTGTGAGATGAGAGTATAGTAGGAACCTGCACTTGCTTGCAATACTTACCTTTGAATTAGCATTATCTATGTCACATGCTCTTTTGCTATCCAGCCTTAGTCACGATATATTGCAAGAAGCAATATACTTGGAAGTAATGATCGTTTATGTTGTCAACTTTTGTTGTCGTGTTTACTTGAAAGAAACAACAATACAAGCAATTGAACGCTCAAGAAAGGTTTGAATTATCACAACACAACTATTATAATAAAGCCTTAGCAGCCATCTCCACCAGCAATGTCCATGCAAGACGTCGATGGATTTAATGTAAACGCAGTGACAGTCACTGTGTACACAAAAAACATCAGCGCAAATGCGACGATAGCAGCACTGGTACACTTGGTGTACCCGCCGTAACTGCGAAGCTGCTGAGTGTCAAGCTTTTGTCGTGGCAGAAAAAACAGTCCCGTGAACTGCAACGCGTTGATGGCGTAATTAATAAGCAATGCTTTGAGTACACCCGATCGCCCATCGGGTTTGTCGAATACAATTTCTACCGTGTTGTAAAAGTTAGTGCCTGTAAACAGCCCAGTTGCGTTGGTCTCTACGAACATGGAGACCAAATAGTACGTAGACAGCATCAGTCCGACCATGGCACCCTCTGAGCCTTCTTGGATGATCTCTGTCAATGGAACAACACGCGCTAGCCAACTAATGCCGTCCGCGATACTCAGGAACAGAGTCATAAAGCGGTAGAAGAATCGATTTCGAATGATATCTTTGGACACGACAACAGCCAAAATCACTTGAGGAACGATGAGTAGAACGGTGGACATGGCAAAGAAAATGCGCCAGGGTCGATTCATAAAGTAGTAGCGCCACACTGCAATCGTCAACACCACCGCTCCGTAGTACATGAGTTGAAGCACAAATCTCTCATCCCCGCTAGCCCCCGACCAAACGGCAATAATTACTGTAGGGAGACTAAATGTGATAGTTCCGAACAAAGTGAAAAGGCACATAAACAGAAGAATTCTCCACACCGCTTTCTGCTGCATGACCTTCCACAGGATTTGGCCACGAGTCTTCATTGGCGTCGAGAGGGAGTAGTACTTCTCCTGCCAAGCTTTCCACACCAGTGGAATCGAGATCCCAATCACGAGGCCAAATGCAATTAGCGCGATATGATTTTTCGTCTTGGTGACCTTAAACGCGTACGCACAAGCGTCCGTGATAATACACACCAAGAATCTGAAAATTGAATATGTCGCTATGATAGCGCCGCGCATAATTAGCTTTTCACGTTGAGATAGCTCGAGCACTCGGGTGTGTACACACATATCTGTTACCATGTTTCCAGTACTTGCCAATGTCGCGAAAAGGATAATAGTCGCGGCTAATCCAGTCCCCGCAGTGCCCTCTTCAAGAGTTACTATGTACCCATCCAATGCTGAGAGGACGAAGAGACTCAAGGCCGTTGTCGCTAAACCAATCATCAAGTACCCTTTACGGCGGAACCCCAAAATAGGGTAGCAATCCGACACTAACCCGAAAAAAAAGCAGAATGCTAAAGGAATCGACGTCAGTCGTTGAGAAGCTGCCAACTTGGCAGGTTTCAAGCTAAAATGCTTTTTTAACATTGGATTGATGACGCAGTTGAGGCACTCAACCGAAAATGCCGACGCAAATGTGGCTGCAACGAGACCGACACATTTCTTTGAGAAGAAGTTGACCGCACCACCTTTGCGAAGACTTCCGTAGATTTCAGCGTTGTACAGTGGCTGGTTAGCGTCATTTTCTACAACCGAACTCTCACTATCTTGTGTTATTTTTGGAGGGAGTGCGTCAGCGTTGTTGTGATCGATGAACGGTGGTGTCTGGTAGATTTGGAAGTCCACCTTATGTTCCATAGACGATGCCAACGTCATGGTCCGCACGACAAAAATGTACCTCCCTTTTCTAGGACTTCTATGAGTGGAAGGGTTTGTCTCCTTCACCTACAAATTTGACAAGTGAACATCAATTGCATTCTTGACTAGAAAAGCTGTACAGTTTCGGGGACTGCTTGCTGGCTTAGTAACAAAATGTTCCGCTAGCACAAGTACTATATCATACAACAGCTGAAATGCACTCTAGCGCACGATTGACTAAAGACTACAGCTGTTCCATTACCACAAGATACTTGAGTATAAGGCGGCATGACTGAGTAACGGCCTTAATCAGCTGGTAGAGATCTAGCTGCTCGATGGGTTCACATAGACGCAAATCACTTTTTCTCTGGCATGTAGCATAAAGTACTAGAAGGTAGACATAATCATTTCCAGATGATTAACCTCCTGGCGAAGAAACCTACGCAAACATTCCGACATCTTATCGGCGGCGTCAGTTAAATGGAGCAGCATATGTTTGATGCTCATCGCCGAGTAAAAACGTCGACAAGTTAAAGAACAAACGCGTGTGAAAAAAAATCTCTGATGCTGCAATCCCTGTCCAACCAAGTGAAGGTTCTGTGGGGAAACAAGAGAATTTATCTCCGTTGAAGCCTCGTTGCCAACAAACTTTTTGGTCTACGTCAAGTAGGTCCAATAGTTCTATCTTCGCTGACGCGTCCACTCGATCCTAACTCACTTGACTGCACTATCGTTGCGTTGTGTCTGCCTAAATCAGAGACAAGGAGGATATCGTGCAGGCCTTACGCACGAGCGATGCGCGAAGAGAGAACTCTATCCTTTCATGCAACGACATCTAGTGGCAAATTCCATCTGCAACATGCGGGCATCACACCCCAAGCAATCGCCTTCAGCGTCTGTTACAGTAGTGTGGTAGTGACTGCAAAAACAAAAAGAATTTGTTCAGTGCCCGAGAATGCACATGCTGATACGTTGGACGCGTTGTGCAGACAACATAAAAATCAAACTTTGAGGTATACGGATTGCAAATGGTGTGGCGCTGTAGGTCGACAATAGAATTACGTATTCATCAGAACTTATAATTTTCAGGTTACACATTGTGAAAAGAGGGGTAAGGTGATCAATGTCATACTACATCATTGTAGTGCTTTTGTCATTAGACTATCGCCATGTGTTTATGCCTATGCCCATGTGGGAGCAAACTTTTTGGGGTTCCACAAACCTTGATGGTATCGTCCGCCCATAAAATTATGTTTTTGATAATTCAAATACAAACTACTCGTTCATTGCCAACAAACACGAACGAATGTGTTCTGAAGTTATCCTTGTATTCATCATCTGCACTGACTGAACATTTCACTTACTCAACAACTGCGACGATAGTTGACCTCAGTCGTGAGAAGTGAAATCCTCATAAAAACGACAACAAAAAAAGTGTGTCGTACCGAATCACGATGCTTCTCGGACTTCCCCTCTTACCTTGCGTACACGATAAGATTCAACACTCTATAAAGCTTGTGCTTCTGACAGTTTGTTAATATATGTCCACGATCCTTCGATACAAGTACAACACGAAACTGGCAGAGTAGCACGAGGGCATCGTCAAAATCTTCTTTATCTCAGTCATCTATGTAAAGTTTTGGGACGACAAGAATGTACTTGTTCTTACCATGCTAATTTGTATGCTAACTGTATTGTCAAATGGTGCTTCACTCATCAAGTTAGACGTGCCATTGTCCATAGAGGACGCAAGCTGCCTCCTGGCCACTTAGGGAACCTATATTTTGAACTTTGCCAGCTTGTATATTGGATTTATTGGCTTGCATGACGCCGTGTGGGCTTTCGCATGGTAAAACTAATGCTATCGTTTGTGTTGCATTGTGCGTTTGGTCGCAGCCTACCACTCGGCAAGATGATCCTCTAGAAACTTATTTGAAGATCCAGTTAGCATGGCAGTCACCTAGAGTGGACGTCGAAGTATTCTCGACCGAATTAGCGTAATCGCGCGGATAGCGAGCGGCCTTCCGCGGCAGAACCCCCGAAAAATTGGTGCGCACGTGACGGACAGTTGGATCGCCAAATTTCCCCGCCCGGCGTCAAGTGACGACTCCTCACCCGCTGATGATCGGCCTTTGAGGCAAGGAAAATGATTCCGTTTTAAAACACTGCGATGTCTTCAACAGGTAACGGCTGGATCAGCATTTCCCTTGCGCAGAGAATTACGAAATTCAAGCGCTTACAGATCAGTAGTACATTGAGGACAGCAGTGTATGCTCACCTCTAGCGGTACCTCGATGCGCTACGAGCTATCCCCGCATATCGGGCGGCTGATGCGGTTGCGCCTCCCAGTGAAGACTGGCTTTTAGTAGCGCACCCCTACTTTTTAACCACCAGCGGTCCGGCTACAACCTCGAGAAATCATACCGGTTCAACGGGTTTGGAGAGAGCAGTGCCCTGTGGCTTACCATATCAAGACGACGCGGCCTACGCGGGTTGTAGCGGTAACTCGGGTCGAGCTCGCAGCAGCGGGGGGTCACTAAAGGCAGCAATATAGGATCAATCGGACTAGCGGCGTGTAGTATGCATTAAGACGGTGAAGAAACGCGAGACGCGCACGAGGTATATTATTGAATCACAAGATCCGTATGCAGCACAGAGAGCACATAATGAAGAGAAAGGAGCTGTTGGAAGTTTCGATGGCAGAGGTTTGCGAGGAGCGCCTCGTTCGGTAAAACAAACGGCTCAAATGGACTATGGAGCAACTTTGGGGGAAATTCAGGCGGAGAGATCAGTCTAATACAGCCATTTTTCACATCAGCGTGCGGAGGTCAAGCGGGAGATGCCCCTGGTAGGCAGATTCGCTTCAGAATGACACCAGCTTTGGAGTATAGCACCATGGCCTTAACGGCGGAGAGTTCAATATGCTGGTCTTATACCGGCCACCCGACGCATTGTGCTGGCGGACCATACGCATCTAATAAAGGAAACGGTTTGGACGAGGTTGTTCAGGCCATTGCTGCGCTGAGTCGTCACAAGCGGCAGGCGCAGACGGCCTATACGACGTTTTTTACAAAGACACTCAAGCAATGCTGGCTTCCGCGATGGTAGCTCTAGGGAACGAGATCCTCAGGGGTAGTGGGTCGCCCAAATCATTCCTTCAAGGTTGATTATTCCACTACGAAAATAGGGCGACTACGACGCGATGGATTACCGTTCTCTCGTACTTCTACACATTGGATACAAGCAATCACGAAAATAATCGCCACGCGAATGCAAAGCATCTGAAGCGTATCACTTGGAGCTACTTAGAAAGCTTTGTCCATGGACGACATGTGCTTAACACCAGTGATGATGATGCTACCCATACTGGCGAGAGTCAAGGCCGAACCGGAGTTGGCAGCACTACATAAATGGAAAATTTACTGCTCGACCTTTCGTATAGCGTACGACACAGTGGCACGGAACTTCCTCTTTTTTTAGCTCTCGCGCGCTAAAGGGTCTCTTCTGCTGCGTAAGTATGATTTGAAAAGTCAGGACGGCACGACAGCACCATTTGTGGTTAACGGAAAACTCTCAAAACCGGAATACGACAAGGCTGCCCTCTTGCACCGTTGCTTTTCCTGATTGCGGCGGAAATCCTTGCAGTACAACTCCAACAGGATAGCCAGATAGATCATCGACCTCAGCGTATCTATGGAAGTGGTGTGGCCCACAAGTATTTTTGGCGTTGGTCGACGACACAAACAGTATTGATGCACGCGGCGCCTAATTACCTAGATTAATGAACGTCGTGGAGCGGTTTGGAGCTTATCTGGCGTAATAGGCCAACGGACCAAAAGAAATTGTTTTCTTGAGTATAGCAGCGAAAGGAAGAAATTTTGGATTACCGGTTCTGCCGCGTGGCGATACGGTGCAAGTTTTTAGGTACGCTTTGTCACAGGACATCTTACCGATGTGAACTGGGTAGCGCATATTCAAAACGTACAACGGTGACTGGCGACAGCGACTCAACGTGCAACCACCTTCGAAACCAAAAGTATAACTTCTGAACGTCATTAAGCTCCCAGCAGTGCTGCTCACGACAGCAGTCTTCGAGACACCATTATGAGCTCAACAACAGCTACGCAATCTTCAAAAGCAACTGCTATGGAATCGTTTCGCCAGCGCGGAGTTTGGACGCCATAAGATCAACCCATCGCTGCTGTACAAGCCTAAAAGGGCGAACGTTGGTTTGGCCTCTATACGCATTGCGTACTGGATACAGCGGTTGAAACATGCCATACTGTGGCTAACCCAACGCAAAAAGACATCGATTTGGGGCGTGGCAGGCTTGATTTTTCGAGGTGCACCAGAGGAATGGACGGCAGGTGTGTTGCCATGTCGCCATGTCGAGACACAACGAGGCGGCCAAAGACCAAGGCGATAGACTACAACAATTAATCGGTCTTGCTGCGACCATCATCATCGGGTCAGGAGGGAGGGCAGCAGCAGTACATGCAAGCTCTTAGCAGGTTGACTACGGAGGCGATAAGCTGGACGACACCGGCGTATTGGGTGGTGGAGCTCTCTCGACTACTTATGCACTTATCACCGGCAATGAAACCAGAAGACGAGGCCATTTGGCCCACTCACTCGTGGACAGAGATTTTTTGGATTCAGACCAGCAGGCCAAAGTCTTATTAGCACGAAAGTACGATAAAATACGGCCCTGCGCCATCGCGGATCTTCACGTACAGCGGGTTGGAGTCCTAACGTATTTGTTTGTCATTACTACGGAAGGGGCGTCGACGCATCAACAAGCCAAGCTGTGACGCTTGGGCATCGCGGTTTTGCTCAGCGCTCGAGTATAGATTTCGAGGAACTGCTCCAAGTTCGGCAAGACCTCATACCACGTCACCCGAAGCAACTCGCTCGTGCATATGCTTGGCAGTATATCACGACGAGGCGTTCTGGGGGCCTTTGACCCAGGTCAGGTGTGATAGAACTGGAACAACAAAGCAATGAGATTTAAGTAAAAA